CAGGGTCCCGTGGACCACGTGATGAGAGCCACTGCCCTGAGAGACCCTCAGCTGCGGTTCGCTTTCACTTTCTCATGCACTGGGGGAACAGGTACAGCTGTGCCTGACTACAGTGGGGCTGTAGACTTAAAAATATCACAAATCAAAATTTCAGTGAGGGTGCTTAGCTGGAACATTCTGGATTGGTGCAATGTGTGCAGTATGTGTAGGGTCTTGGATTTTTGCTTTGGGATTAAGGTCCTACCACTGTCCAGTGCTGTGGCAGTAGTATCTTGCTGCATATCATTAACCTAGAAATGATCAAAATTCAAAATGCAAAGTGTGGCTTCAACAGCACGAGGCATCTCTGCCGTCAGAAAGACGAAAGATTTTTTTCTTCTTCTCTGAGACAGGGTTTCTCTGTGTAGTCCTTGCTGTCCTGGAACTCACTCTGTAGACCAGGCTGGCCTCAATCTCACAAAGATCCGCCTGCCTGTGCCTGGGGTTAAGGGTGTGCATCACTGTCCCGCCTGGCCAAAAAGTTGAAAGTTTTAAGTCAACCCTTGTAAGCCCAGAAGTTTCTGGAATGGAAGCTCTGCAGCCTGCAGGGGAGAAACAGGGGCCAGCACAGCTGCAGAACAGAGAAACAGCTTGACTGTCCCTCACCCCCCATGCCCTAGAGGCAGGACTGCCCCATACAGAGGCGTTCTCCACTCTAAAGGACTCAGCTCCACATGGTTGGCGCAGAGATAGTTCACCAACTCTTTGCTCCTTTCTTCAGGCAGTTGTGCCAGCCATCAGCTGTTTGCCTGCAGCTCAGGTAACATTTCCTGTTTTCCTGGAATCCAAGTGGGACCAAAATTGTACCAGTTGGAGGTGTAAAGAGCCTAAGATAAGCTGAACTTTCCTTTTTTAGGTAGGGAAACTGAGATTAAACAGGTTTAAAGCACGTGGAAATCTATTCTGGCTCCCCTGGATTGCCCAGAGTCATGAATTATGAGTATGATGTGAGAGTATAAAACCATCAGAGTAGCCCACTTCTTTGCATCCCATAGCTGAGGAGTTGAGGCTGGCACAGTGTTGGTCTGGGAGGCGAGGAGAGAACAAATTATTTCCAGATCAACACACAGCAAATAGCAGAAGCTACTTCTGCTGGCTGCTGACTGAGGAACAATGTATATCTACCAGTGGGGGTGGACATCAAACAATCAATTACACATGTCCAAACAGTGGCCCAGCCAGAGGTAATTCCATAGCTGAAAAGGTGCTGCCAGTGGGCTGATGTATTACAAAATGCTGCTCCTTCCTCATGCCAAAGTACGCTTAGAAAACCCTAAAGTAAGCAAGAGGTAGCTCAGATGTAGAGCCCGTGCAAGGTGGTGTCCTACACTACAACACACACACCCACCCACCCACACACACACACACACACACACACACACACACACTAGGAGTCCCTAAGGCTGGCTGTCTCTTAACTGTGGCCTTGAACAAGTGCATTAATGTGCTTGAGCCTCCATGAATTAATTGGCTGATTAGACAGAGGCCTCCATGAAGGTTGCTATCAAGTCAATGTATGATCTAGACCCAGGACTTGACTGCAGGCCCCTGACCTTGAGCCAAGTCTCAAGGAGTGTGTATGTGGGTCTCGTCTCTGTCCCCTTGTTTTACTTTCTGTATCTCTATAACCTGTCACCCATTGCTGATTACATTTTGGCAGCTTTCCTTTCCCCTGGTCACTCATGAAGACTATTTCCTAGGAGTGTCACTGGGACATCATCACTACAGAGTGACACCCTTCTTCCCATTGGAGCTCAAGGACATTGTCACACAATGGAATGGGGAGATAAGCGTGGCTCACTGTAGCACCCCAAACCCTTCCTCGTTTTCCTGTCTCCTCGGGCCACCCTAGAGCAGGCCATGGAGGAAGCAGGAGAGGTGGACCCCTGTGGTTGGGAACCAAGGCCACCCTGGCACGCACATGTGCTGGCTGTCCTTCAAGTCAGTACTCTTTAAACATTTGCTCAGAGTTCATGTGGAGTGAAGCCAGTTGGAAGGGGTGGAGACCTGCTCTGGACCCTGGGGTCCCAGCCCATACAAGGACCTTTGCAGGAGCAGAAGGCACAGAAAGTTACTGACAAAAATGGTTCTCTAAACTGCAGTGGGTTATGTCATGCAGACAAAGAGGAAAAACAGTCCCTGTACTCTTTTCTCTTGGGTTTGTGGTTGAACTTTCCAAGAAAGGCAGCTTCTGGGACAGCTCATTAGAAGTTTATTTTGGTTCTATTTTTATGTGAAATGTATTTAAGATACGGATGAGAACTGGAGTTCTTAGAAGCGAGGAGAATGTTGTCTGCCACTGATTTCTCTTGGTAGAGCAGCTTGAACTGTGTATTGTGTGACGTCCTTGAACTTGACTTCCTTTCAAATGAACAACAGAAAATATGGCTTACATTTATGTGAAGTCAACCGTGCTCTGTTTTTTTTTTTAAATTTATTTTTATTTTTTTGAGTACCAGAGAGCCACCTAACATAATTAAATATGTTTTTTCTGGTTACAAAAGTCACATATTCTCACTGTAGAATGTGCAGATGCAGAGGCTGAGCGGAAGCACTTGCCACGGTCTGCAGGCGGAGACTCACTCCTTCCTTTGTGGCCTCAATCTTCGCCCTTCACCCACTTTCCTTCAGTTTCTATCATTTCTAGGCCTCACTGTCTAATACAAGGTTAGCATTTCAGGGGAAGACATGAGGGGTTTGTCCAATCTCTGCATCTCCCATAGGGCCAGGCACACAGTAGGTATTTTATATTTGTTCATTGATTGGAATAGGATCTGGTACCCTTCCAGTGTTTGTAGGACAGGATAGCCCAGATGGCAGGTGTGGGAGGTTCTTGTGGGTCTCGGGGCTCAGCTGTCAGTGCTGGCTGTCTAACATGTCCAGCAGCTATGTGGTGGACAGTCTGATGAGATTGAGGAACACTCTTCTGGGATTATCTCAGGACAGCTGGCCCCAGCCAGGGGTTTCCCAATATCCAGAGGGTGCTGTTGGCCTGATATTCAGTATTTCTGTTTGGGCACCTGCAGTTTGTATAAGTTCAGTGTAAAGTACATGGGACAGTTAGCATGTGGGCACCACCAGACGCAAGCCACACAGGGATGCTAAGGCATAAATAGGTCTCCCTGTGTGCAAGGATGCCTACTCTGAGATGGGCTCTGCCAGTGCTGTGTAGCAAGGTGGCTTCTGTAATCCATCCCCTTACCCATCTTTGAATCAGCAACTGGTGTTTTACCAGTGAACTCACTGGATGCTGAAAGTTGAGGTTTGTTTTTTACTGGGGAAACATGGGTGTATTAATTATGATGAGTATTACAAATGGAATCAGCTGCTGAACTTCAAGGTCAGCCTGACATGTGCATGGGCTAGAGTACCTGCAGCATGGGCTGGCAGGAAAGTTATGAGCACTTTCCTGCCAGCCTGGTCCCACAGCTGCATCAGCCCCAATTAACACACAGAGATGCTGTATTAATTATGAAAGTGTTGGACAGTTACTAGCATTTCTTATTGGCTAGCTCTGTCTAAATTATTAATCCATATATATATATATGTATATATATATATATCTGCATGATCTTATCTTACTGAGAATACCAGACTCCTCTCCTCCTGAGACCACATTGCGACCCCGTCCTACGTTTCCTAGTATCTTCTACCTCCCCTAGTCCCACCCATCTTGCTTCTCTATTTGCCAGCAGTGCTTTATTCATTAACCAATAAGAAACATATTTACAGAATGACATCTCCCATCACAGTTGCTTTTGAGCCCAGTACGGTAGGGCATGCCTTTGATCCCAGTACTCAGGAGGCAGAGGTAGACTGTAAGTTTAAGGTCACCGTGCTCTATATAGTGAATTCCAGGCCAGCCAGGGCTACACAGTGAGACTTATCTCAAAAAAAAAAAAAAAAAAAAAAAAAAAATTTTTTTTACTGTATTTACTTGTGTGTTTATGAGTCTTTTTACTTGTAAAATCTAATTGTAATTGTTATATGACTCCATTTAACTTTGTGTGTGTGTGTGTGTGTGTATGTGTGTGTGTGTATGTGTGTATGCGTGTGGAGATCGGAGGACAACTTACAGGAGTTGGTGCTCTCCTCCCACCATGAGGGTCCAGGTGTAGAACTCAGGCTGACAGTGACAGCAGGTGCCTTTACCAAACATGGAGCCATCTCACTGGCTCCACTCTTGTGGAGAGATGTGACCCAAGAGAAGAATCACTTACCCTGGAGCAGCCAGAGACGCTGGATTCTATGGGATCGAAAGAGGACAGAGTCCTCTGTGAGCCGTGGGCTCCGTTGGCACCTGAGAGAGCTGCCAGGCATCTTCTGAGGTTGCTTTTACATATAAATATAAAGTCAGCAGGCCATGAGAGGAGCTGAGGCATACCGAACAGAGTCCATTCTGGTTCATGAGGTTGCCTCTCAGCTCGGTAGAACTGAGCTTGGTCCCCGGCTGTAAAATGGGGTGATCTCAGAACCTCACAGATAATAAGAGTGGAAGGAAGTGAGAGCCACATGCTCAGGACCCTGCTGGCAAAATTTGAATCTTCAGTGAAGACGTTTGCAGTGGCTATTATTACCACCAAAATTAGTGTGAGTATACAAACTACATGCAGACCTTTGGTGCTAAAACATTCACAACCTGAAATGGGGGAGGAGAGAGATAGGCATGGTAGTCTCTGAGGAAAGAAATGACAGATGCTGAAGAGAAACCCAGCCCAAGACAGGGGAAGTTCTGAGAGAGGGAAGTTTCTCTTTGGCTGGGAAGAAAACCTTGTAGGGTGAAGCCTCCCTGTGGTCAGGCTCTGATTGGTTCTGGCATTGACCCTAAGTATAGGCAACTGAGCTCTGGACTTGTTCCCCTCTGTTTGAGCAGTCAAGTGCTTGGGCCCATTCCCATCTTATTGGTCATATTAGCCACGTGGCCTTACCCAACCAACTCCAAGGGGCCAGGGATTGAAATCTCACCACAAAGGTGGAGAGCTGGAAACCCCTAGTCAAACAGTACTAAAAACTATCTCAAGTTGGTGCTCCCTTCCATACCAAGTTTGCTGATGACAGCAGTCTGTGGCCTTTCTACTGTGAAGGCTAGGAAACCACAACCAGAGAAGACAACCCCAATACTGCCCAGCAGAGGAAGAAAAGGTATTCAAGGGCAGACATCTGGAGGAACAGAAGCCTGAAAGCTGGAGGTGACGACGAAGGGGGCAATGGTACCGACTAAGAGCTTGAGGCCCCTTGAGGGTCTGTAGGGAAGGCAGAAGTAAGGAGGTGGAGCTGGGTTTCTAGACGGTTCCGTAGAATGGAAAGCCTCTCCAGGGTTCTTGAATGTCTAAGCTGTTCTGCTTGCATGTACTAACTGCCCTTTCCGTACAGTGCTTCACTTGCCCTGTGCACATTTCACCAAAGGTGAAACTCGCTTTTGTAATGGCCTATCCCTTCACCAGGGAGCCTAGAACTGTTCTTTCATAGGGGATGGGGAAGCAGGTCTATGTGACTGACTGTTTCTGGAATGTTTTCAGACACAGTTGAGCATGTTTAGGAAGACGGCTGAGGACAGTCCCCAGCCCCTTCTTTGATTTCTGTGGCTTCCATCACCATCTCAGTGCAGTTTGTTGGATGACTGGATGGAAGCCAGCTTCTTTACCTCATGCTGAATTGCACTGGACGCATCACTTCCCTTCCTTGATGCCCTCCCCCCCCACCTCGTTCCCTCGCCTGGAAAATAGTGCAGTTCGTAAGATTGGGGCTTGCTTGAGAGGGAATCCACAGGAGAGACCTTCAAAGGCGACTTCAGAGTCCTCTAGAACTGGTGACGGGAGGTGCTGGTAAGGTAACCTTGTTTGTAGACATCTCAGGCCACTCATCTTAGTAGGGTCAGCATTGAGGGTCAGCACAGGACAAAGGCTGTGCCATTGTAGACCTATATACTGCCTGGTTCCCTCCAGGGAACCTTGGTGCTAAACAAATATTTACCTAACGGATGAGTAAACAGATGGCTTCCTCTGATTTGGACCAGTGGCTTACAGATTTGCTAGACAAGTACTCTGTCAGTAGCTCCATTGCTAGCCTTCTTGCGGATTAAATATATTTGGGTGTGGGTGTGGGTGTGGCATGTATGTGTAGTTCAGGGGAAACCATTGGGGAGTTGGCTTTCTCTTTCCACCGTGTAGGTCCTGGGGATTGAACTCAGGTCATCAGGTATGGCAGAGAATGCCCTAATACATTAAGCCATTGTACTGCCCCCATTTGCACATTTATGGGATATGAGGAAGTAAGAAAAAGCTTTTCCTCTGCCTGAACCACTCCCACCAAGTCACTAGAGATAAGCCACCACAGTCATTGGGTTTCCTGCTGAGGGTACTGTGGCCCTGCCTCCATGGCTGTGTCAAGGCCTGAATAGGAAATGTGATTCAGAAGTGTTCTGGGAATTACTCTGTCCATGCCAAGGCAGGGCTAGCTGTTCAGGCCACAGGTAGATGGTGGACTTTGGATACACAGAACAAATGGTGCCAGAGCCTGTGAGGTGAGTTCTGGATCATCATCACTGTGAAATGAGAAACTGTTACTTATTGGGGATTTGTTAACATGGGCACTCTGCCATGCATGTCACAGGTGCCATCTTTTCGATGTCTGAGAGAGGGGGGCTTTGCTGCTCTTATTGTCAGGCAGAAGAAACCAAGTCTTTAGAGCCCAGCTTGCCCAAGATCTTTCATCCAGTCAGCACCCGAGACTCCTGGAGACTCCTGGCTCCATCCTCTGGCTGAGGAGAGCTGGAGACAGTTTGCTCCTTAGGTACTAGGGACCATAACACAAGCTGCTATTTCCCAAATGCATGGTAGGTTCCATGAACTTTACAGGTTTGTTGATCTTCTTTATAATCCAAAGACTAAATAATTTTTTAAAAATATTGGATGTGGGATCTTACTGCATTGCCCAGATGGCCTTGTGTCCCTGGGCACAATGCATCGCTTTCCTTGGCTGTTGTGATTAGAGATATGAGCCATAGAGCCTGGCTAAGACACTCCTTCCTCTTCCTTTTCCATCATTGCCTTTTTCTTCTGTAGTATAGGGATCCACCTCAGGACCTCACTCAAGCTAGGCCCCACACTCTGTCACCCTGTGGATGGATAGTAGGCTGAGGCTCAGGGAAGTTGGTGTCCAGGGTCACAGGGAAAGAAATGAGGGGCTCTGGCACTTGAATAAAAGCTGTCTCATTCCAAAACTAAAGACCTTTCCCCAGTGGCCTGAATTATTTTGTTTGTTTGTTGGTTTGGGAGGCTTGTTTGTTTGTTTAATTTTCTGTTAGAACCTTTTCTGTTAGGCACGAATTCCTGAAAATTTCTTTATATTTGAGTCAATTTATTATAAGAGATTGAGCAAAACCTAATAGGCAGGGAAAAATCCAATACAGAACAATTTCAGGATTTTCTAGTAAATTCTTTTACCCTTGGACTGTGCACAGCTTCCTTTGAGTTTATTTGTCTCCCAACAGAAGTTCCAAGAGAGAGGCAAGACCAACCTGTGCTGGTGGGGACTCTGTGGGGTGGGAGCAAAGGCTGGAGGAGGGATGGGGAGGGCACTTGTGATGGCCCCTCCTTTTGAGTCAAGATTTCACTGTGGAGCATGTGATCTGCTGGCCTGTGCCTCTCCAATGCTGGGATTAAAGGTGTGTGCCTTCATTCCTGGCTGGTGGTGATTGATTGTGACTATCAGCTTGATAGAATTTAAAATCATCATGGAAACATGCCCGTGATCATGCATAGGAAGAGGAAGTTTCCAGGAAGGTTTAACTGGGAAGTGAAGAGCTACCCTAACTGTGAACAGCACTGTTCTATATGCTGGGGTCTTGAAATAAACAAAAAGGAGAAAGCAGGGGCTAAAGAGATAGTTCAGTGATTAAGAGCACATACTGCTCTTACAGAGGACCTGAGTTCAATTCCCAGCATCCATGCTGGGCAACTTACAAATAGCTTCTACCTCCAGCTCCATGAGGACCCACCACCTCTGCCCTCTGAGGATATCTGTACTCTCACACACATAATTAGAAACAATAAAATGAAATCTCTTTTAAAAGGAGGAAGTGGTGTAACCGGCTGCCTTACGTTCCTTCTACTTTCCTTCCCCACTGTGAGCCATAGCCATAGACTGTGAGAGTCATCATAGTCATAGGCTGTGAGCCATATCCATAGACTGTGAGAGTCATCATAGCCATAGACTGTGAACCATAGCCATAGACTGTGAGAGTCATCATAGCCATAGACTGTGAGAGTCATCATAGCCATAGACTGTGAGAGTCATCATAGCCATAGACTGTGAGAGTCATCATAGCCATAGACTGTGAGAGTCATTATAGCCATAGACTATGAGCCATAGCCGTAGACTGTGAGAGCCATAGACTGTGAGCCATAGCTGTAGACTGTGAGCCACAACAGACTCTTTCCTTGCTTGTTGGTAGAAAAAGAAGAGCTGGACCTTTACTATTTCTGTACAATTATAGGAAAGACTTTAGATTTCATCCTGGCATCCAGAAGGACCAGTGGATATTAAAAACAGACCCAGGCAGGTGTGGTGGCTGGTACAGACCTGTAATCCCAGCACTTGGAGACTAAGGCAAGAGGATCACAAGTTCCAAGCCAGACTGAGCTACATAGCAAGTCCTTGTTTCAAAATCAAAACAAAGTCTGAGAGGGCCCATGCTTGGAAGTGAACTTGGAGATGACTTTTGCAGGGGACAGTTCTGTGATTTAGCCTCCACCTGTCAGCTGACTCTCAATAGGAGCAAACTGGAGCCTTTCTGGGCATACAATCCTGATTTTTCTGGGGTGACCCTGAGCTCCACTCCCACATCTATAAAGTGAGGGTAGACTGCCCACACTGGAGTGTCTCAGTAAAGAGACAAGCCACCACAGACAAAGCACAGGAGATGAGTCCCAAGCCCAGAGGAAAAGGACCCCCATCAGTGGATAACGAGGGGCCACTCTCTACTTGGCAGTGGTTGGTGAGAACTGGGGCCTACAGTTAGCATTCTGTGCACACAGAATGTTTTTGCCAGTCCGCATGGAAATCAGGGAGGGAATGAGAAGGACTCTGGGTCTATCACACTCTGATACCACCCAGTGCCTGGGAAATGGCCTCATGTCTGTGGATGGGCTTGGTTCTGGTGGGTAAGTGCCTTAGTCAGAGTTTCTATTGCTATGATGAAGCACCATGTCCAAAAGCAAGCTGGAGAGGAAAGGGCTTATTTGGCTTACAACTTCCATACTTCCATCACCAAAAGAAGTCAGGACAGGCACTCAATCAGGGCAGGAACCTGAGGCAGGAGCTGATACAGAGACCTTGGAGAGTGCTGCTTACTGTCTTGCTCAGCCTGCTATCTTACAGAACCCAGGACCACCAGTTCAAGTATGGCCCCACCCACAATGGCCCTTCCCATCAATCATTAAATAAGAAAATGCCTTAAACTAGATCTTATGGAGGCATTTTCTCAACTGAGGCTCTCTCCTTTAAGATAACGCTAGCTTGTGTCAAGTTGACATAAGACTAGCCAGAACTGCAAGGCATCCCTGAAGTACATCTGGAAGGAACTGTTTGTTTCAAAGGAGCTGTTACATTCAGTGGGAAGGATGGCTCGCACTGGATATGAGGACTTATTGGCTCTGGGGTCTTGGCCAAGTTACCTAACTCTGAACTGCAGTTTCTCAGCCTGGGGAAACAGGAAGGTGTCCCACTGGGTGAAATGAGACCCTCATTAAGATTACCTTGGGGCTGGAGCTATGCTTGGAGAACTGTGTTTGATTCCCAGCCCCCACATGGCAGCATACAACCATCTGTAACTTCAGTTCTGGGGGATCTGATGCCATCTTGTGGCCTCTGCAGGCAGTGCACACATTTGGATAGTACATACAGACAAAACACTGATGCATAAAGTATTTGAGAGAAGGTCTTATCCTGTCACCCTGGCTGGCTTGGAATTCTACCTGTAGGCCAGGCTGCCTTGAACTCACTGAGATCCTCCTGCCTCTGCCTCCTGAGTGCTGGGATTAAAGTGTGTGCTGCCATGCCTAGCCTTTTTTTTTTTGTGTGTGTGTGTGTGTGTCCTTGGGAGGATGAGTGTGGCCTCACACTGTGATCTGTGTCTCAAAATTCAGAGCTGAAACAGGTGTGCAACCGGCTGGCAAGTTCCCTTGCCCTATAAGGACCAAAGCAGCGGATGTGAGAGGGTTAGAGGAGTGGCAGGTTACCACTGGCATATAAAGCCTGAGAGAAGAAATAAAGAAAAAGCAGGGAAAGGGGGGAGGGGAGAGAAAACGGCAGGGAAATGGAATGGGACTTATTCCCTTTAGGTCATCTAGAAGGCCATGCTGCTGGCCCGCTGGTGGCCCAGCACTCAGACAGCAAGGCTGAGGTATAGGAACTGCCCTGGAGACTAAGAAACAGGCAGAGGCCTGGCTGGAAAACTTCTGCTCTCATGGTGCTTCTGACTCTAGGCAGTTGTGCCTCTGAGGAGATAAAGACAGCCCAAAAACCCGCCCCCGCTGCTCTCCTTGCATGGGGAGAGAGCTCCTTCTGTACCCCTGCCTGCCTGGGTGGCTGCTATCTTCCCATCATTGCCAAGCAGCTCTCCTATTTTCTAGCTCCGAAGGAACCAATGGTTCCAAAGCCCAGAACTGTCAGCTGGAGTGTACTTGTATGTTCCAGATGCCAGGAACCCCCAGGACTGCATCACGGATGTTCAGAGAGAAAAGCTGGCTCACCTTTCCATCTGGAATGCTTGAAGGAGGACTGAGCAGGCACACTACACACTACACACAGGTTGCTGAGAGGAATGAAGTCAGAGCTGGGACACACCAGGAGGTCTGTCCCTGTGAACACAGCATTCATAGTGTCTAAGGTGTCAACAGGACCAGCCCCTCCTCATTAACAGCTGGAGAGGTTAGAGTAACCCTAGGCCACAGCGGGAGGTCTGTCTTGGAGCTAGCTAGGACAGGCATCGAGGGAGCTAGCGAGCAAGCATTATCTGTGACTTTGTATTGCTGGGGAAGACTCAGTAATGGGGCCAGTGAGATGAGATGGCCAAGCCTGATGACCAGGGTTTGATCCCTGACTCACACGGTAGATGGAGAGAGCAGAGCCTCAAAGGTTGTCCTTTAATCATGTGTGCTGTGGCATGTGAAACCCCCAAATAAATATGCACATATTAACAAATAAATGCAATTTCTTAAAATTGGGAAAAAGAAAAGAAAATTATTCCATTTTCTCAGCAAGGGCTGAGTGCCCTCTCTGAAAGAGAGGCTCATGGGAGCAGATTCTCTTGAGCACAGTACTTTCTGAGGCTGCCACCGCCATCATTTCAGAACTGTTGCTGTGGTAAAAGCCATGACCAACAGCAATCTGGGAGAACAGGGTTTTATTTCTCCTTACAGCTTGTAGTCCATCGTGAAGAGAAGTCAGGGCAGGAACCTGGAGGTAAGAACTGAAGTGGAGTGTGGAGGAGTGCTGCTTACTGGCTTGCTGCCCCCAGATCACCCCCCTACCTTTTCTTACTCGCTCAGGCCCACAAGCCAGTGGCAACCATGCCTGTAGTGGGTTGGGCCCTCCCACATTGATCAGCAGTCAAGATGCACCTTCAGACCAGGCTACTGGAGGCAATTTCTTAATGGAGGCTCCTTCTTCTGGGGAGATTTTAGCTTGTGTCAAGTTGACAAAAACTACCCAGTTTACTCAGGTTGGCAGCAGTTCTAACAGCCATGGGAGCGTTACCCTAGAAATCTCTTCTCAAAACTGATAAGGTCAACATGCCCATTCCTTACACAATGTTAAACAAAGCATGTGGCAGTTGTGTGGAACTTCATGATGCAGGGTCATCTGAGGTCACTGAGGCAAAGCTGTGTCCTTCACAAGGACACACCTGGTCGCTTCGTGATGGTTTGTGTGTGTGGCCCTCACTCGGTGCCAGCTTCCATCCACCTTACCATTTCACAGACATAGCAATACAAGCACCAGCACAGAGGTGTCAAGTTTCCCAGGAAATCGCGGCCCACTGGGCAGCCCCTCAGTCACCCTGTGATGTGATCATCCCCATCATACACTTAAACCCTTGCTCGGCAAGCATGTCTTTTGTGACCTTCCTAGGCAGCTTTGGGATTATACAAATGACAACGAGCAAGCCTTGTATGAGTTGTGCTCTCTGCCAAGAACACTTAATCCCCACATTCCCATAGAGGTAAGAGGGCTGGGAATCAATCCTCATGTTTCCCAGTGTTTCCAGGCCAGAAGTGAACTGGAACAAACCAGGGCTTCCCACTCTGAGGTAGCAGCTGCCAGCCTCTCAGGATGGACAATGTGGACAGACTCAAGGACTGAGGGTGGCATGTCCAGATCCCTCCCCCTCCCTCCACTCCCTTCCTTTTCCTCCCTCCTCCCCTCCTCTCCCCCTCCCTCCCAATAGCACCTGCCTGCCATACTGAGCATATAAGCTGACCTGGAGAATATCCTCTGGAGGCCTCAGGGAGGAAGGGCAGTTTAGTGATATGTCAGGGGAAGTATCTCAGCTGTATAGCCTGACCCTCAGAACTTCCCTCTTCAGCTGTGAAAATGGTGGAGAACATTTTACAGTTCACGTGGAGGGTTCACTGAGGTAAAGGAGGGAGGCTGCTTGCAATGTTGTGGAGTTGGGATGCTCAGGGGAGTCCATGAGGAGCTGGGGTATGGCTCAGCTGGTAAGGAGCTTGCACAAAGCCCTGCTAGGGTTCCATCCCAACATTGCAAACATTTAGAGGCCATGCTTATTTTAGCACAGCCCTTCCACTCCACCCTGCTGCCTCTTCCTCCTCCAGTGACCTTGGTCCCATAGCAGGCCATAGCTGCATCCTCCTAAGGGGCTCAGTCTGCATGAGGAATCCAGGAGAAGGAAGAGGCAGGGCTGCCCATGATCTGGGGGGAGGGGGGAGAGCTTGGGTGCCAGAGAGTGCACGCAGCTTCTACCAGGGAGCTTTCTGGAATTTTATTCTCATGGAAAAAGCTTGTTAGAGAGGCCCACTTGGGTGTATTCATCAAGTGGACAGGTCTGTGTAACCAGAACTTGCCTCCCTACTTCTAACAACATAGGCTGCAGCTTGCTGGTTGTCATGGTTACATATAGGAAGCCATTGTGGCACTTAGTGGTAACTTAGCATTTCTGATGGGCCTTGGAGTCCAGTGTGGGGTATGTTATATTATGGGAGTGGATTTGAGAGCAGAATATCTGTCACAGGCCTGGGTTCCTGTGGATCAAATGGATGTCATCAGAAGGAGTTAAACGAGATGTTAAAAAGAACTTCCAGTCCCTGAAGGTGGCTTCTGCTCTCAGAGGAGGAAGCTGTGACACTTCCTTTAGAGAACAAGAGGAAGAAGCCCAGTGACCTGGGGCTGGGCCTTGACACTTTCCTGTCTGGCATTGGTTCCTTCCCATCATCTAGGGTTCCCAGACTTCCAGACGGTGTCCCAGCCACTTGGGGAGGGAATGAGGCAGGGGCCTTGGGTATCACCTCCCTGCTTGAGCCGATGTGTGCATATACAGTGCTGCTGCTGGGAACAATGGGCCTTTGGAAAAACTCAGCTGATGATAGGGGCTTGCCCAGCATGCACAAAGCCCTGGGTTCCATCCCTCCTTCACATAACTGGATGTGGGGGTACACATCAATCACCCTAGTACTGTTGACAGGCAGGCAAGAAGGTCAGAAGTCCTATCCTTGGCTATGCAGTGAGTTCATGGGTGACTTGAGACCCTGTCTTGAAAAGAAGAGGAAAATTAAGAAAAAGCTCTAAGCAGAAATCTCTCTCCTTAAGTTGCCTCCAGTGGGATGGTAAGAGATAAGGGTCTCTTCAGGAGCAGGTGTGGTCTCTGTGGCCTTTTCAAGTTCATTTAGTGAGGGCTTCTATATGGAGATTCACACTGTTTTCTGAAGCACAGCTTTCCACAAGACAGTGCAGCTTTGGGAGCTAGGCTGTGGAGGAAGAGTTTCTCAGAACCACAGGAGGCATCAAAGTGCCTTGTCTGCTCACCTCTCTCTGCTCTGGGCTGTCTCACACACTTCTCCACTGGCTTTTTCCTAGGAGGTGTAACTTAAGGTTGTTTGCATCCTACATGGCTCGAAGTTTTCCCCGGGAGTGGGTGATGTGGAGGGTGGTGACCTCCTCTCCTGTGACTCCTGGCCTGGTTTTGTCCTGTAGTTTTCTCTTGGCAAGGCAGTCAGAGGATGGCCCAGAGCACCAATCTGCCTTGGCATGTAGGTCTGAGTCAACAGCCCATTTCCCGGGGCTGAGGAAACAAAGCCTGTGGCTGCTGCTGAGGGATCTGTCTGCCTCCCACCCCCTTCCTGAAACAGCTGTTTATTCTTTTGACAGGAGCTGGAACACTGCACCTTCCCTTCCTCTGAGCCCTGCCTCTTGCAGGCAAGAGCTCAAGAGAACTTTGCTATCTGCTCGGGAGGGAACACAGCGGATGATGAGGTACGTGTTTTGGTGAAAGGATTTGTGCCTGCCTTGGGTCACCAGGAGCTACTACTGTTAGGCCACCAAATAGTCCCTCCTGAGGGAGGATTCTTGCTCTACTAACCTTTCCCTGGTCCCTTCTGAAGTTTAGTTGACTTTCCCCAGTGGCTCTGGAAGCAGGGGCTGGTGGAATGCTGGCTCAGGGATTTTGGCTCTAAATTCCCCTTTATTCTGCTTCTCATGGCAGGGGCCCAGTGCTGTGTCGGTCAGGGCTGCGGCCTGGAGCTCTCTGTGTAGGGTTGAGTTAACAGTGCAGGGCCAGGGCCTGAGCCTTCTCGGGACAGCACAGCACTTGCCTAGGTTGTAGGAAACCTATGGTGAGGGATTCCTGGGGCAGCCAGGAAAAAATGGTAGCTGGATGCTGGCTTTAGAGCTCCTGAAGGAGACTGAAGTGGAGGTAGTGAGAGACACCTCTGAGTAAAGTTGTATCGCCTTCCATGGTGCACTATGACTGCAGTGACAGCTGACCATGGGTAGTTAGAGACCTGGCTGTTATTTTCCTCAATCTTTTTATTCTGACCCTATTGTTATCTGTGTGTGTGCATGTGTGCATGTTGCATTGCACCTGCATGCAACATACACACAACACACACACACACACACACACACACACACACACACACACACACGCTAGACTTACAGGCAGTTGTGAGCCACCTGATGTGGGTGCTGGGAATCAAGCTGCAGGCCCTCTGTGAGAGCAGAAAGCCTCTTACCCACTGAGCAGCTCTCTAGCCCCGATTCCAACCTTCTTCATGAAAAGCATAACTGGAAACTGGCTTTTCTCTCCCCCACCCAGTTGTATCATGTTTCTCCTCATGGGGAATTTATAATAAAATGCACCCCCCTACTCTGATACTTCCCCACTGCCAAGAACAAGACCTAGAGGCAGACTCTCTGACCTTAAAGTCCATTGCTTCTGAGCATGTTCAGTGACCTCATGCTAACTCCCCTTCCCTCAAGCTTGCTCTCAGCCAGAAAGAAGAGCATGGTCACCACAGTGGCCACTGGCCAATGTGAAGTGGAAAGAAGACACGAGGGGGAATGTACCAGGTACACAGGAGATACCCTGTTAGTGGCAGAATCCAGTCAGGGCCCTAGCTGACCTGACTCTAGCTGGTGTTTGGCCAGCTCCGGGTCAGTTACAGTGTGATAATCCTGAGTGGCACAAAGAGTCTTGAGTCTTTCTGTGATGATTGACAGAGCCTTGGAGGTGGGTTCTCTGGGTGGAACCCAGCCCAGTACTGTGTGCTGAGCACATGGGAAAGTTGCTTAGCCTTTCTGAGTCTGTTTTCTTTTCTGCAAAATGGGATTAATAATAGAGTTCCATCACGGGATTGTTGAAGAAGGCGGAATTGAAAGACACTGTTTAGTCCCACTGGGCCTGGCCCGGCTCATGAAGGATGCAGGTATTTGTAGTCCAGAAGCTGACTAGGTCGGGGGATGGGGGCCAGGGCACTTTAAGAAAAAGAATTTAAAGTTGTAGATACAATATTAGGTAGGGAAGTGAATGTGTAGACTATGAGAAGGGATATCACGGTAGGTAGAAAAGGCCAAGTCCTTCAAACATGACCTTCAGAAAACAATAAAATGATAGAAAATTTGGAAAATGGATGAGCTGTGTGGAGCTGCATGATATACTTGCTATATTTGGCTGCAAATTTTAAAAATATTTCTATTTCTTTAATTATATCCATGCATGTGTGTCAGTGCATATGGTACCCTCAGAAGCCAGAGGCATTGAATCCTAAGAGTTACAGAGATGGTGAATGGCCTGACATGGATGCTGGGGACCAAACTGCCCTCTGAAAGAGCGGTGTGCACTCTCTACTTCTGAGCCTTCCCTCTAGCCCCAAGGCTACAAACTCTTTGATCCAATCAGTATCCCAACTAAGACACTCCAGGCTAGTGGTTCTGAACCCTTTAATACAGCTCCTCATGTTATGGTGACCCCCAATCATAAAATTATTTTCATTACTATTTCATAATTAATTTTGCTACTGTTTGAATTGTAATGTGGTTATCTGTGTTTTCTGACCGTCTTAGGTGACTCCTGTGAAAGGGTCATTTGACCCCCAAAGGGGTCATGGCCTGAAGGTTGAGAATTGCTATTCTAGCATAATTTTATTTTTATTTTAAATTGAATTTATTTAGTGGGGGGGGGGGTTGGGAGGGAATTTGTGCCATGCATTTGGTGGTCACAGAACAACTTTTAGGAGTCATTTCTCTCCACTATTGAAGACTCTGGGACCTGGAGATGGAGCCTAGAAGGGAAGCCCAAGAGAAAAAGAAAACTAAAAGACAGATGAATTCGTTTGGTCCATCATACTTCATGAGTAGTTAATGCTCACTGCTGAGCACTGGCAAGATTGCTTTGGGCTCCATAGTTTTTTGTTAGTGGTGCCACACGTGGGATGGTCTGGATGGCTCCCTGCTCAGGTGGCTTCAGGCCGATCCCCAGAGAGTGTGCGTTCCTTGATAGGTAGTACGGTAAGACAGCTAGGTCTAGGTGCCAGTTTGGGGAGTCACTAGATGCCTGGCCCATCATGACCCCTGAGCAGGGAGAAGGTGGGTCCTGGACGCTATACAAGGTTCTGGGACCCTGGTGGGTGAGTAAATGGAGCCAGTTCCTTGTTGCCTCCTGCACCTTAGACAACTACCAGAGCTAGCCAGGGATTCCTCCAGACTCTAGAAAGCACTTGTGTTTCCTCCTACCTGTGCTCTGATATGAATAAAGCTCCATCTTGTGAGGGGACCTGGAGCCCCAAGCTTCATGAGGTTTGGGAAGCCAGCCTCTGTACTTCAGATACATTGGTTGCCCAAGGAGTCTATTATCTGATCAGTCTAGGAAAAGCACATGGGTTTTGGTAGCAGGGTGAGCTCTTGTGTCTAAGGGATATGCCCTGGGACTGGTTTTTCATCCAGGCCTGGGTGAGTGAGAAAAGCCTGGAGGAGAAGGACAGTCCAAAGTCTTCAACATTGGCTGTGAAACTCTGCTTCCTTTGGTCTTTGAAAAGGATGGGCCTTGGCCACTTCTCCTGTCTGGTCTTGGCAAATGCCTAATGTGAGCACCCATGAGAGGCAGCGGGGAATGTTTGGCTGCAATCTTATCCCAGACTGGGCATAGCAGGGTTTCCCTCAGTTTACATTGGGGTCTTGGGCTCATACCAACTGCTCTGTGAAGTGCTATGTGGGCCTGAGATTCTTGTCTCTGGTGAAGAGACAGCCCTGCATCCATAACTGAAACCTCTCTCTGTACCTCTCTCCCTGAAGAACATTGTCATGGTTATGGCTGCCTGGCCCAAAGAGCCTTGTAAGCATAGTTTACCTCTGTCCTTTGCAAAGCCCTAAGGAAGATGTTTCTATCTCCATATTATACCTGAGACAGAACCTCAGGTCAAAGAAGCTTCCCCAGGAGATACACATCTGGGGCCTTGCTGGGTTCAGAGTCTTCACCTAGTCTAATTTTTAACTGTAGTGTTGGATTAATACTCTTGGTTATAACTGAGGGTTTGAGGGGAACCAGAGGATTGTGTCTTAGGCTGTGGTGAGTTTTGTTAACAGCAGTGTGTGTGTGTGTGTGTGTGTGTGTGTGTGTGTGTGTGTGTGTGTGTGTGTGTATCCAGTTTGCTAGCCTTTGTAACATTGGTCACTACAGGACACTCTATAGCCTGTTTAGTCTTTTGCTCCACCCCCAGAATAGAAGCTCCATGGTGACCTTGTTTATTGATGTATCTCTGTTTTCAAGAATCCACTAGTACCCGGTAGCCTAGTCTGTGGTGGTTGATGGGTCTGGGTGGCTCTCATTGATTTGTTCACTTCACAAATATACGACTGCACCTACCACATTTCTTGTGGGCTTGTGCTAGTCTGGACTCATTATGCCTGGAAGAAGACTGGGTTCCAGGCCACAGTGGCAGGGTTGCAGGCTGGGAGGCAAGGACTTCCTAGGAGGTTGGGTTTCTTTGGCAAGTGCTTTCTCCCTGCCTGTCCCCTGTTCTCCACAATAATGACAATGGCTTTTCCAGGGCCTTTGTGTATTCAGCTTCCAGCTGAGATTCACCTTTCACCCTGATATGAGATGGAGAAAACAGGATTGCCCAGAGTCACCCCCAGAAAGGAATTGTTTGGAAGGAATGTTTGGTGTGGCTCTGTGAGGTTCTCTGTGAGGTGCTCACTGAACCATGGGAAGGTGGAGTCTCAGAGGTGGCCGACAACCATCACAGACAACCACTGGGCCAGCTAAGGTCACCCAGGGGTCTCCTACATGCTTCAAAGTTACTTCTTTTCTTTCTTTTTTTTTTTTTTTAAGTGTAACTTCCATTTTTATTTTTGCCAGATGTCTTTTCTTCTGCCTGTCTGAAGCCACCTCTTTATGTGGTGGAGGTTGTGGGGCAGCAACTGCAGGTCTAAATCATGGTGGTGGTGTTTGGTCCTTCCAGGCTGGCTTCATGAGATTGATTCCTAATCACCTTGCTATGAATAACACAGCTCATGCTTGTAATACAGCTTGACGTAGATTTTGGGAAGCACAAGAGCATCTAAGACTCCTGCTTAGGAAATGTCCCTGGGTGGCAGCAGCCTCTACAGTGTTCTGAATGGTGAACTTCTTAATGGCCTTGTCCTTGGGCACACACCAGGCATAGTTTGTGTGGTGACTTGGCTACATGTGCCAGAGGCATCCTCCCTTCCTCCCTCCTTCCCTCATACCCCCTTCCTCCCTCCCTCTCTCCCCCTCCTCCTCCTCCTTCTTTTTTTTTTTTTTTTTTTTTTAATGTATTATCTTAGTCACCTTGGAGCCAAGACCTGAAAGAAGTCAAGCTCATTTCTTAGCTGGCAGGGAAGACAGCTGTCCACCACTCTTCAGAAGTATAGTTTTGAAAGTACCGAGGGACAAACATAGAAGGAATTGTAGGTCACATTGTCTGCCAAATGTCTCATTGGTCCAGAGAGAAATACAAAATGGTTTTAAAAGACTAATTGGCCATCCAGCCAGCCCTTCTTCCTTGAAGACTTGGGTTTCTAGGAAGATTCAAGGAAGCATGTTGTGCCCATTTCTAGCACTTTGCTCGGACAACTTTTCAGTTTGCAAGGCTTGCCAGCAGGGTGATTAGCCCCAGCTAACAGGCAGGTGCTTTCAAACCATCACTGAAGCCCAGAAAGAAATGTGCTTTGAAAGTCCCCTCTGATGTGAATTCCTGAAATCTAGACATGTCACCCTCACCTACCAGGATGCTCATGGTGGGGATTCAGATGCGTGCCAGTCTGGGCACAGGCAATGCTGTCGCTCTGTGTCATGCCCCTTCCAGTTGGGAGAGGCTTTGCTTTTGATCCCTGGTAAGTGGGGCTGGTGCCACTGAGCCTCGAAGCTAGCCCTCACCCTTGCCTCTCAGCAAGCACAGGCTGTCCTAGGACTTGATCAGAGAAACTGAAGTTAGTCTCCCTTTGGAGCAGCTTACTCATTCGAGCTGGAACAGATGGTGAAACCTTAATTTGCACCCATTTGTGTAAGCTGTTCTCAGTCTGGAGTTCTCTTCCTCCAAAACATTTTGAGGATGTTCTAAGTGTCAGTCTTCATTTTCAGCAAACTTCCTAGCAGCTTCTCTTATGAACATCAGTAACAAAGACTAACATTTTGAAAAAGCGAGTATCCTATGTTATGGCATGGTTCTGAAATCATTACTATTTTTGTCTCTCTCTCTCTCTCCTGAGGCAGGGTCTCACTATGTAGTTCTGGAACTCATAATGATCTGCCTGTTTCTGCCTCCTGAGTTCTTGGATTAAAGGTGTGTGTGTGTGTGTGTGTGTGTGTGTGTGTGTGTGTGTGTGTGTGTGTGTTGGCTCATGTTTCAGAATGCACATGTGTTGGTATCAGCCTCAGGTCACTGTTTTCTCAGCTTGTTACATATAGAGCTATCTCACTGACCCTTATTTGTTATTTGAGATAGTCTTGCTGTGTATAGCCCAGGCTGGCCTCAAATCTGCATCCTCCCCATCACTGTTCTTATCCCCATTGTCAAAACAAGAAAACCAGTTTAATTTGATCTAGTCCAGGTCCCCAGTCCCTAATCTGAAACTCTGGGCCCAGAGAGGTTGAAATCTGACTTTGGGGTACACGGTTGCTTAGCCTCTGTGATGCATTTCCATGCAGCCGAACCAACTAACAGGACATATTTATATTTATCTTTAGATGTTCAGACTGGATAGAGATTACAGAGATGTAATGTCAGTTGGGCCTGTACTGCCCCTTGAATTACAAAAGGATGTTTGGTTTTCCAAAATTTTTATAGAGATGTGGATGAAGGCTGAGGAACTGTAGTTTCTTGTGAAATTAGGACTCAAGGGACTGGAGAGATGGCTCAGAGGTAAAGAACACCCGGGTTCACATGGCACATGAGGTACCACATAGCACCTCACAACTGTCTGTGGCTCTGGTTCCAATGCACATAAAATAAGTAGATACATTAAAAGAAAAAGAAATGAGTACTCAAATCCTGGTCCACTGCCACAGCCTCAGACAGATCTCTGGCTCTCACTCGGCTTGAGTGCGTCCTTGAGGTGGGCTTGGCTCAGAGAACCAGGGCTTGGGAAGCTCCACGTCACTCAAGTCATTACCTCACACATTGAATGAGGAGCTGGTGGAAGGACAACCAAAGCTTCCTGGAAGTAGAAAAGCAGCTTCCTGAAAAGTCAGGGAGGGGACCAGAAGATGAGTGGCTTTGGCTGGGGTTTTTATGGCTCAGCCTATAGTAAACTAGGGAGTCCATGGACAGGTTGTGGGGGCGGGGGTGTCTCTGTTTGGGTGGGAGATAAGGTAGGGGAAATAGGCTTAGGAAATGAGAGTGAGGCCTGGGGACCAGCAGTTGTCCTGGTCTAAACTTGCAGTGAATGAGCTGTATTCCGCCCAAGCTGTGCTCTCAAGGCCTGCCCAGTGCTCATGTACAGGAGGGAGGCCCTGAGCTAAACTCAGCTAATTTACAGCATTTGGATCTAGTCTCTGCATTCACTTCTAGAATTAACCTAGAAGCCTTCTGCTGGTTTGTGAATGTTCCTTTTGAAATAAGCTCACAGCTTTTGTCTGTGTTGAGCTCATTAAGAAACCCGTTCTTCAACAGGCCTCTTACTCCTAGCTACATAGCTAAAAAGAAAAGGGAAATGAGATGGCTCCGCAGGTAAAGGTGTTTACTGCCAAGCCTGATGCCCGGGTTCAGTCCCTGAGACTCTGTCTTGGTTAGGGTTCCTGTTATTGTGATACACACTGTAGTAAAAGCAACTCGGGAGGAAAGGGTTTCTTTTACCTTACGATTCTTTTTGGCAGGCCTGGTCTCTAGGTGTCTGATGCTCTGGGCAGTAAGGCCAGGTCCTGTTGCCTTGTGAGGTGCATGGGTCAGATGGAGGAGGCCTAGCTCCAGAGTGGTTGGCTCATTTGTGGGTCAAAGGCATGTCCTGTCTGAGCTCTTATCTCAGAGAGCTGGCAAGTTTCCCCACACAGGAGTGTTGTAAGCTATCACAGTGTTACTTCAAAACTTTCTAATAAAGGGATAGCAACAAGCAGATGTCCAATACAATTGCTCCCTCTCTTTGGCCATTAGAATGGTCGTGACTTTCCCCACTAATGCTGGGGTTTTGGTCCCCCCCTCCCCCAGCAGATGGACAGGTCCTCTGAACACATATTCCATTCTTCACCACCCCAAAGGCTCTGGTGCCTCCCAACCTCCCTGTGGACCTTTGAGAGCTCTGTCCGCCTGCTCACCCTCTTCCTGCCCACCACACCTCCTCTTTCTCCTGCAGCACTTTGGAGGTGCAGTTTCGTTTTATGTTCTAAAGCTTTCTGTCCAGCTAGCTCATCATGGATGACGCTCCACAGAGGCCCTCCCTCACCTCCTTATGTCCTGTCTTCATCTCCAACAGTCACCTTTCACACCCCTTCCATATCTTGCCTTCCCTGATCATCCCGAAGCACTTCCCAGCCTCTTATTTCTGCCCATCACCCCTTCCCTTTCTTTCCCAGTTTTCCTCCTATAGTTGCAGTTGTTTGCTTGTGTGTGTGTGTGTGTGTGTGTGTGTGTGTGAACTGGGTGGGGTTGGAAAGTGGGCAAGGCCTTGGCTATAAAGAGGCATTGGAATGTGTCTAATTAAGGAACAAGTGATTATGCTACCTTAGCACTCCAGGGACAACAGAGTTGGGGAGTGGGCGAGCCTCCCCCCAGAGTCAGAGATGCTCTGAATCTGAGGTCACTGGGGTTCTGTGGAATTAACAGTTAACAGTTCTAACACGTCCCGTCCCTCCTCACTCGCCCATACCCACATGGCTGGGGGAAGGGCTGGGACTTCGGGCTCCAGCATCCTTTCTAGAGCATGCAGTCTCATTAACTGCACTAGCCTAATTTGCTGTCACTAGTCTGTGCACTTGTGCAGGGACACACATCTCAGCTCTAGTGAATTACACACAGATGTATCCTGTTAGAAACAATGTGGGCAGAGGCCTTTTGTTATTTGTATTATTATTTAGAATGTTCTATGTGTGTGAGTGTTTTGCCTGTGTATGTCCACGTCCTGTATGTCTGGTACCCGTGGAGGCCAAAAGAGGGAGGGCATTAGATCCTCTGGAACTGGAGTTATTGATGTTGTGAGTGTCATTTGGATGGTGGGAACTGAAACCAGCAAGTGTTCTTAACCACTGAGCTGTTTGTCCCACCCCAGAAGCCATGTCTCACTCGAGATTTAATTCCTTTAATCTATTCCCCCCCTCCACAGGAGAAAATAATGAATGTCAAGGGAAAAGCGGTCCTGTCGATGCTGGTTGTCTCAACTGTGCTTGTCGTGTTTTGGGAATATGTCAACAGGTAATTATGAAACCAGCTAGGATTACAGAGATGGAAAGACTGTTTTCATTCTGTGTGACTGGTGGCAGCTGACTGACCAAGCAGGGTGAACATGAGGAGCTGGGCCATAAACAGGGTTCCACCCTTCCTGTATTCTCCAGCCCTGGATGGTCGTTAAAAGCAAGACCATACAGGTAACTTCTGCCTAAGTAATTACCTTCCTTCTTGCCATCCTCTTGGGATCTTGCATTTCTGAGGCTAAACCCAGAGAAAAGGCACATTAAGCCAAAAAACAGTCTCAAGTAATGAGTATAAGCACATACAAGAAATGTCAAGCCAGGCAGGATGGTGTATACATGGAATCCTTATACTTGGGAGGTGAAGCAAGAGGATCGTACATGTTTAAGGCCAAGATCGTCTACATGGTGACTTCCAGGCCAGCCACAGCTTTACAGGGAGACCCTGACTCAAAAAAGTGAAGAGACAGGAGAGGTTAAGAGCACTCACTGGTTGTTCTCTCAGAGGTTAGACTCCTAGCACCCACATGGTGGCTCGTAATCCAGTTCCAGGGGATCCTAGTTTCTAGACTCCATGGGCACCACACACATAAGTGGTACACATCTGTATAAACAGGCAGAACATTCACACATAAAAATCTTAAAATAATAAAAATAAAGGGCAAAAGAGAAATAAAGAAAATTCAGATAGGAATTCCACAAGAAACCAGCCCTACGTCCTGCAATCCTAAAATATTTATAAGGTTTAAAGGAGCTAGCCCAGTGGTTGGCTTTGGTGCAAAAACACATACTAAGTTTTACTAGTGATTCATTTGTGCCTGGATGAAACTCTGTCCCTTCCTTCTTCCCCTTTTGGCTTTGGAAAGCAAGATGAATTAAATGTTTCTCAGTCATCTAACTCAACTGTGAATTAAAATCTATTGTCTGCCTCAGCTTCTGGAAGCTCCAGTGCTCCGTTCACCTTCAACAAGTGTGTTCCTCGTACAGCCAACTGTGGGAGCTATCTCAAAGATGGCCATTTTCACAGTGGAATGTTTTAGTGGCCCCAAATTTCTAGTAGTCTGGGTTAACATCTGACTTATCTCTTTCAGAATTTTTATTTTAAAGTTGGATGAGCCAGCAAACCTCTAGGAGTTTCAAGGTGTGACAGACATGCACCATGACTAGGATGTTCTTCTGTTTCATTCTGAATAGCTAAGTTTGAGAAAAGGCCCAACAAGCTAGAGTGTGACCAACTTAGAAGGTCTGGAGAGTGGGTCTTTGAATTGAGGAAGCTAGTTCAAGTAAGAGATGATTCACCATTTGGGTGTGGTGACCCTTGGGCTCTTGGGGACTGAAGAACATCCTGGCTAGACCATAAAGCCAGAATGTCTGGTGTGTCCTAGCCTTCCATTTACTGACAAAAAACACAGCTTAGCGGTAAAGCACTTCCCTAGCATGTGCGACAGCATGGTTCAGTACCCACACCCCAGATGAGCAAACAAGAAACATCCCCACTGCTGCATCCCTGACCACCTGTTCTCTACCGTCATAGCCAGCTTCCACACCTTGGGTGGCTTCGACAACAGGAACTTATTTCTCAGTGTTCTTGAGGCTGAAGACCCAGTTCCCAGGTGAAGCTTTCTCCTTGGCTTACAGGCCCTGTACATGATGGAGAGCAAGAAATTTGCAGTTGTTTCCTTTTCTTATAAAAACACTAAATCCATCCCGAGGTCCCACCTTTATATGCCTATCTAAACCTAGTTGCTTCTCAGAGGCCCATTTCTACATGCTGTCGTACTGGGCACAGGGCTTCAACAGTCACAGTTAGGGTGTCCACAGACACTCACTACACAGTAGCAGCATTTGCACTGATGACCAAAACATGGCATCAAGATTGTGGCAAACAGAAGCCAACTGTTAGAATTGTCCAAGACAAGTGCCCTCTGGGGCTGGAATGCTTGTTTAGATAACTGGCAAGCTCTGAAACTAAGTCTGACTCAGTAACTTTGGTGTTGTCTAATTGGAACTGTGCCTCTCTGTTATGAGTGGTTCACAAAATGAAGACATGAGGACTAGAGAGATGGCTCATGGGTTAAGGGTGCTATTGCTCTTCCAGAGTTCAGTTCTCAGCACCTGCATTGGGCAGCTCACAGCTCCAGGCACTGCACACATGCATCTGTCTGTCTGTCTATCTGTCTCTCCCTCCCTCTCTCTCTCTCTCTCTCTCTCTCTCACACACACACACACACACACACACACACACACACATACACCCCATACACATACGAACAATGAAGCCCAAGAGCACATATAGCCATGCCATCTCAGGAGAATTGCCTTTTTGCTGCAGGCATGTGCTCTGAGCATCATGGCTGCAGGAGGTTCTGGCTGCTTTTCAGGGTAGTTGTTTGATACTGAGACTCTAGACACATTGTCTTCCAACTTGATTTTCTGCAAAGAGCAGGCCTCTCTGCCTCTGCCCAAACTGGCTATGCAACGATCCCAGGTGGACTAAGAACATTCACTCTAGAGAGGCGGGTGGCTCTGTGCTCAAAGGGATTTAAATATACCTGACTGCACCCAGCAACTAGTAAATAAATAATTTAAAAACAAAACTGCCTTCGTGGCCAGTCAGGACTGAAGTGAGATCCTATCTCAAAATATACTGCTAGGGGTTGGAGAGATGTTTCAGTGTTATTCAGAGGATCCAGGTTTGGTTCTCAGCACCCACATGGTGGCTCACAGCCATCTGTAACTCTGTTTCAGGGATCTGGCACCATCTTCTGGCCCCCATGGGTACCAGGCCCAGAAGTGATGCACAGACGTACATGTAGGCAAATTACCTACACAGAGAAAACATTTCTAATATCAATCAATCGACCAATCAATGAAAAGAACATCACCCAGGAAAGCATTTGATTTGAAGCTGTTTGAAAACACAGAACTATATTTTTGAGCTGGAAGAAACCTTGAAAGTTAATAAAATAACAACAAAGAAGGTGATGAAGGTAGCTGGAAGTTACTGAGCATGCGCCAAGCCCTGGGCCATGTGCAGCACCTATCTTAGGATAACTCTGCATATTGGGCATGACTTTTGATGTCTTGATGAGGACACCAAGTCTCAACAATATTTCCTGATCACATCTTGGGAAGACTTAGGTCTCCCCTGTTAGCTGTCTGTGAGTCAGTCATTCTCTTACTTAGTACACAACCCTTCCCGTAGCCAAGACCTCATATCTAGGCAACCAAATGGGGACCAACCCTGGGGACTGACTTAGTAGTGGTCTGCATTCTTGTTCTAAGTAGAATTGGATCTAGTGATCCTGTGTCCCAGACTCCATCTAGAGCTCCTATATGCCCAGTGCACAAGGATGTGGAGGCCAAATAGAGCTCCTCCCCATAGGGTGACACCTGTGAATGAATAACCAGAGGCTCAAAGTGGGTAAAGGACCTGGAGGTAGAGAGGAGACCACGAGACCAAGGAGTCAGAGACTGCCTGGCCTGTAAGGAGAATTGATTTACAGACCCTTTGGGAGCACTGGGATGGGAGGATGGGAGGCACAGAAATGGTGGCTTTTGAGCTGTGGCTGCTGGGTGAGTGCATGTTGAAGTGTCAGTTTAGTGTGGCTATATTTGAAGGGGTCTGGGAGGTGATGGGGAGAGTTAAAAAGGAAGGCTGTTAAAGAGGTGTAACAAAACAGCTCCCGGATGCCAGGCAGGGTTCTCAATGCTGGCTTGTGTCCCCTTCTCCTCACTGTCATCTCCCCCTGCTCACTGTCTCCTTCCCCCTCCTCGCCCTCTCCAGGTTCAGATCTGGGGGCTCTGCACATCATTAGCTGGAATCCCATGAGAATGCTCATGGGACACCCCTGCTCTTCAGGTGAAGGTGGGGACAGGTAGCTGCAGGAATGTGAGGGTTCCCTAAGCAGCTGGATGTAAGTTGCCTGGAATGGTGCCTGGCGAGGCTCACCAAGGTACCACATCAATTCACTGATTTAGGAGCCAGGAACTTTAAGGTTTGGTCCTTGAGTGCAGGTCTCTGGGAGAAGCTGGAAGGGTCAGGAGGGCAGGAGGGCAGGTGGAGGGGGTCAGAGGGCAGGAAGGCACGTGCTTGCTCCCTGGGAGGAGGCTTGAGCTCCAGCACAGGGAGGAAGTGGAGAGAGGAGATAAGGGCTAAAGAGACGATTATGGAATCTACGGAATGAACAAATTTAGGACTTGGGCACAGTGTCTCTGCACAGAACCAAATAGTTCAATATGGCACTGAGTCCTGCCACTGGTTTTATTTTGTTTTGTTTTTAACACAGGTTCTCAGTATATAGTCCTGACTGGTCATTGCTAGGCAGACCAAACTTAACGACCTCTCAAACTTACAACCTCTGCTGCCCAAGGTTGGAATTACAGGCCCCAAGCCACCATGTCCACCCAGAAGTCCTGTTACTTATATTCCCCAGGAGTCTCTGGTCAGTGCTATGAGCCATGAGCCATGGCTGCCTTGGTCACTGCCACACCTAACTGCTCTCCACACCAACTCTTCCATGTTGCTGCTCTCCAGCAAGACTTCGCATTTGCTTTCTAACAGCTCTTCACAGGCTGACAACCAGCAGGTCCTGCCAGCACTGGCCTCATTTCCTTGCTGATGCTTCCTGTCTCTGGGCCTTTGCATATTATTTATTCTGTTGGGAACACTTCTTGTGTCTTTTTCACCTTGGTGAACTTCTCTTCATCCTTTAGAATTCATTCTCCAGGAAGCTTGCTGGAGCCTCCTTAGAAGCGCCCATGCTTGTTTGTCCTCTCTCTTGTGCTCCTTGGTTAGGAACTGAAGTAGCCGTGTGATTGGCCTGCCTTCTCTGTTACATTGTGTTGTGCTCATGGGTAAGGATGGATGGTGTCTGCCCTGGCAAACAGTGAGTCCCTTCACTTGGTCCGGAGGACCAGCCCAGCAAGTACTTAGAAAATGACTGAATAGAGGCAATGCCCTAAAATCCCTGGCCTAGCCTTCCAGGCATCAAGTTAGCCTCACTTGTTAAAGCAATGCCCTTGGGGTCTGCTCTGCTTAAGGGGTCTGAGCTGAATGTGCCAGGCTTTGTTTCCTGGGGGGAGAGAAATCCTCCATGTGGGATGACTGCCCATGATGCTTCTACCCCATCCCTCCAGGCTTCCTCACTGCCCAACATCTGAGAATGCTGCCCTGAACAGCTAACCAACCTTAAACCAGAGAAAGGGGGTGGGAAATCCCCAAAGCAAAGCAAAGCAAAGCAAAGCAAAGCAAAGCAAAGCAAAGCAAAGCAAAGCAAAGCAAAGCAAAACAGGAATTGAGCCTGTCATATGCCCCTTCCCTTCCTTGGCGTTGCTTGTGGGAATCCCCAGGGCCTTTGTCACTGGTCTCATGGGAAGGTAGAGCCTGGGAGGAGTTAGAAGCAAGGCAGTGGAACCTCTCTGAGAGCTAAAAGTAAAGTGACTTGTTTTTGTTTCTTGTTTACCCTTAGCCCAGAAGGCTCCTTCTTGTGGATATATCACATGAAGTAAGTGCCCTGAACCCTGCACATCTGTTGAATGTCTCCATCACTTGGCCTTCTAAGCCCCCTGCAGTTGATTCTCTACATGCCAGCCACTTCGGGTGCTCAGGCCACTGGGGGGGGGGCTGCAGGGGCAGGGGCAAGTAGAAGGAGGGATACCTAGAGCCCTGGGGTCAGGGCTGTACTCTGTCAGTCCCCAGACTTGTCTTTATAGAATAGTGACATGTTTTGTCCTCTATTCTGATCAGAGGACTCTTTTCAAATGGTGGCATTTGTCTGACTGAGGGAGGAACTATGTTAAGCTCTGTTTTCCTGTCTTTGTTGTGGTGGCCAGGAAGCTTGGAATAAATTCTCCTTCTTAACTGCTTGCACCATGCCTTATCCTTCATTTGAGTGTAATCCATGCCCAGGCATTAGAGCTGAATTGTATCTTTACTGCTGAGGGACCTTGGCTACATGCTCAAGCCCACTAAGCCCACACCTCAATTTAACAATGAGAATTAAATATGAAACTTTTATTTGGGATGGCCAAGGTCATGTGAAAATGACCAAGTTCATACCAAGTCATTGTGGGGAGGGCTGGGGTTTGTGTGGTATGTGCACCTGTGTGCACATAATCTGCAGGTATGTTTGTCTATGTGTGTACCAGTGTGGGCCAGAAGCAACTTTGAGCATCTTCCCCTATTAGTCTCTCCCGTAATTTTGGAGACAGAGTCTCACTGAAACCAGAGATTATCATTTTTGGCTACACTGGCTGGCCAGCCAGTCCCAGGATCCATTTGTCTCCACCTCCCCACCAAGTGCTGGATTCTAGATGTACACACTCCCCGACTTCAGTGTGGGTGCTAGGAATCTGAATTCAGGTCCTCGTGTATCTGAGACAAGTACTTTACCCACAGAGCAGTATTCCTGAACAATATTTAATTGTTAAAAATCATGTGTGTGTGCCTGTGTATGTCTCGGTCGTATGTGCGTCTGTGTGTCTTTATGTGTGCCTGTGTCTCTCTGTCTGTCTGTCTCTGTCTCTCTCTCTGTGTGTACATGTGTGTGCCTTTGTGTCTGTGTATCTAGGTCTGTGTGTCAGTATGTGTCTGTCCCTGTGTGTCTGCATCTGTGTGTGGTTATGCACATGTGCTTGTGTGCCTACATGTGTACATATGGTGATCAGAGGATAACTTGGTTCTCTCCTTCTACCATGTGTGTTTCAGGAATTGAACTCAGGTCATCAGACTTGGTGCCAAGCACCTCTTTACTGAAATATTTTGTTGGCCTTTCTTTTTCTACTTCCTGTGATTTTTATTCTGATGGTGTTTCCCACTTATTATAACCACACCTTTGGTTCATTAACCATCTCAGATGAAATCCATAGTGGTTTTCTTAGCCAGGATTGGTGAAGTTTGCCTGTCATCTCAGCCAAAGACCAAGTGGGAGGATTAGCTTGTACTACACAGCAGGATCCTTCTCCCCTAATACTGTATCCCTGCTCAGGGTTACCTTGCCATCTTATCCAACTCCCCCTTTTTTCTCATTCTAGAGACCCAAAATTAGAGACTTTCACAACAAGAGAATATGCAAACTGGCTCAAGTCAGATCTAATATGGCTTCTAATTAGTTTTCTAACTTTTGTGTTGCCAGTCCTCGGACTGCAGGAAGCAGACTGGGCAACTAGAATTTGTCTCAGACTGGCCTTTGTAACACACACAACACACACACACACACACACACACACACACAGAGAGAGAGAGAGAGAGAGAGAGAGAGAGAGAGTTATGCTATTGTTCTCAGAAAGATGCATGGTTTGATATTTTCTGTTTTAATTAAGATTACCCCATGGGGCTAGGGAGATGGCTCAATGGTTAAGAGCACTGGCCTAGGCCCTGTTCCAAATGATATGACAAACTTTGAAGATTCCCCATGGAGGGCCTCACCCTCCCTGGAGAGCAGAAAGGGAATGGGATAGGGGATCAGTGGAGGGCAGGAGAGGAGGGGAAGGAGAGGGAACTGGGATTGGCATATAAAACAAGCTTGTTTCTAATTTAAAGAAACAAACAAAAACAAAAAAAAAAAAAAAAAAAAAAAAAAAGCTTGGGCTTTCAGAAACCTGAGTTCAATTCCCAGCACACACATAGCAGCTGACAGCATCTGTAACCCCAGTTCCAGGGAACCCAACACCCTTACACAGACATACATGGAGGCAAAACACCAATGCTCATGAAATTAAAATAACTAATTAAAAACAAACGATTAACCCCCTGTTGTTGCCAAGTTCTGTCACCAAGCTCTTACGTGTCTGCTGTCTCATTGGTCTTTACCACAGTCCCTCCCTTAGCAAGCAGAGCTCTGGACTACAGGCTTATGTGTTCCAAGGGTCTCCGTCATTGTTTTTCCTCATCCCTCAGGGGTTCCAGGCATGAGCAAAGTGCTGGAGGCTTCTTGGGCATGTTCTCCCCCTTTTAGCTCAGGCTTTTGCTTCTCCCTATTTTATGAATTGGCAACTTAAAATACACTTTTTTTGTATGTTTGTTTTTTAAGGCAGGATTTCTCTATGTAACAGCCACGAATGTCATAGAACTTGCTCTGTAGACTACTAGGCTGGCCTTGAACTCACAGAGATCCACCTGCCTCTGCCTCCCCAGTGCTGGGATTAAAGATGTGTGCCACCACCACCCTGCTAAAATTCGCTTTTAATAGTCATATCTGACACTTAAAAAAAAGTTGGAAAGTCCCTCCATCTAGCTGAGGACTGCCTTGTTTTCTAGAGGTGTTTATGTTCTTTTCCATTTCCTAGAATTCCAGAGATTGGTGACAGCAGCAGGCAGAGCTGGTGGCTCCCGAGCTGGTTTAGCAATGGGTAAGGGATTGGGATGGGTTCACCCTTCCATGACATTCAGAACTTTGGCCTTCTCACTCAATCTTTCTTCCTCCCTGAACTCATTCAAGGAGTCCTTTTGTTGTTGTTGTTTTAAATTTCTGTTGTTAGTGGTATGTATGTGTGTGTGATATGTGTATGTGTGTGATGAGTGTATGTGAGTATGAGTGATATGTATGTGAATGTGTGTGTGTGTGTGTGTGTGTATGAATGCAGATACATGCATGCCACAGCACACATGAGGTCAGAAGACAACTTTCAGGAGACACTCTGTCTTTCCACTGTGGGTTCTGGAAATTAAACTCAGGTTATCAGGCTTTCATGACAAGCAGTTTTATTGAAGGAGCCATCTCACCAGTTCAGGGGACTCAAACTTACAAGTGGAATTCTGGAGTCTCTCTTTCCCTCCCACCCTCCCTCCCTCCTCTCCTTCACCCTTCCCTCTCTCCTTCCTGTGCCCTTTCTCCAGTTAAGGGTAAAGTTCAGGCTGAACTTTGAAGTTTAGAATAGACATTTCAGTAGGACATTCCTTTGAGGGATGTCCTACTCCTGGGTAACAGAGGGTTACAAGGTCATTGAAACCTAACTGCTGACCTGCATGGCAAGAGAGACAAATGCTGCACCTTCACCTGAAGTATGTCAGATCTATGCCTGTGTCATAAGTGATGCACTTTCTCACCACCTGAGACACGAGTCATAAAAGAGTCCCCCACGCCCAGCCATGAGCCTCACCCAGCTTCTTTTCTCTTTGTACGCAGGACCCACAGTTATCAAGAAGAGGACATAGAAAGAGGGAGAGAAAAGCAGCGAAATGAAGGCAGAATTGAAGAGCTTCACTTGTGGGACTGGTTTAATCCAAAGTAAGGACAGAGACCTAGTGCACGCTGGGACACACTAAGCGTGGTGCTCATGGGAAGGGGGTGTCTTAGCATCTTTAGACCTTCATTAATGGGCTTTGGCTAAGCAACTGATGTCTGGGTACTTTGAGTCAAACAGACTGAGCACTGTGGTAATCGCAACAAGAAATGACCAGCGGTAGGTAAAGCATAAAACATAGGCCATGTAGGATCTGTGGAAATCTGCAGGATCTGGAGTGGGCCAGGGAAATTCTCTCTATATTCAGCTAACTCATCTATGAAGTAGGAATCATGAGCTAAGAGATCTGGGGCCATGAATTTACTCATTACACAAGCAAACAGCAAATGTCTATCAGAAACTAAGACATGTTAGCTAGTGTTTTCCAAACTTCTGGTCAAAACCAGGTGTGGTGATGTTCACTTGTAATTTTACACTGGGAGGTGGGGCAGGTGATCCCTAAGGCTTGCTGGTCAGCCACTCTGCCCTAATTTGTGAGTTTTAGGCCAGTGAGAAATTGTATCTCAAAAAAATTCTGAATGGTACCTAAGGAAGAACACCCAAGGTTGTCCTCTGGTCCACACACACACACACACACACACACCACATACATACAAACACACACACACACACCACGTACACACACACACCACATACATACACACACACACACACACACCACGTACACACACACAACACACACACCACACCACATATACACACACACAACACACACACAACACACACATGCACCACATACACACACACCACACATACATACACACACCACATACACCGCACACACACACACCACACACACCACACACATACCACATACATACACACACACATACACACACCATGTACATACACACCACATGCATACACACACACACCACATACATACACACACACAAACCACATACACCACACACACACACAACACATACACACACACACCACATATACACACCACATATACACACACACAAACCACATATACACACAAACCACATGCACACACACAAACCACATACACACATATACACCACATACACACACACACCACATACACACACACACAAACCACATACACACATACATACCACATACACAAACCACATACACACACACACACACACTACACACACACACACACACACACACACACACAAATAAAGAGTATTGGCTTGAACCACCATCACACTGAAGCTTTCTCAAGACACCAAAATCTATTTCTTGAATAAGTGAGTGACTAGATGAAGGAATGAATGAAGAAATAAATATTTTTATGTCATATGAATGTATCCTTTCCTGATTTTGCCGCAGAGCTGGTATCGTGTTGTACTTGCACATTTCCACATTGTGGTCCCTGCTTTCTGTCTTCTTCCCTTCTGGCCATTCTCCTCTCTCTGTCTCAGTAAGGGCATCTCCCTCTTCTTGCCAGGTTTTTCTGGGCATTTCCACACTGCATCTTCTTTGGGCTCTGGGTTCCATCATGCCCTTATCCATTTCCTGGCCTCGGGTAGCATGGAGAGGCCGAATCTCACAGCCATGTCTTTAGCCCACGTGCTTCCTGGCCCTGACCTGTTTTGGCCTGCTTGCCTGCCATCTCTGTTTGCCCCATACAATCCACATGGATTTCTCAGTTCCACCTTGCCCTGTCCTTTCTCACTCCCAGCCTTAGTAAATAGCTCAGCCTGGGTCTGGGAGAATTGTTCCTTTGTCCGCCACATCTTCATTCTTTTATCAGTCCTTGCTCCTAATCCTGTCCACATCCGCTCTGCCGCCACCACCCCATCCATGCTGCCATCAGCTCCTTGGTGGTTGGGTATTGGGTGGTCCACATCTTTTTTTTCAGTCTACTATGAAATTCTTAAGAATTTTGAATATTGACTTATTTGTGTGCCTGTGACAAGGCACTTGTGTAGAAGTCAGAGGACAGCTTATAGGAGTTGGTTCTCTTCCCTCCATCCACTGTATGGGTGCTGGAGAGCAAACTCTGCTTGTCATGTTTCCCACAAGTGCATTTTCTTGCTGAGCCGTCTTGCTGGCCTAAGTCACAGAATTTCATTACTTCTCTAGCTAACCCTTGGATACCACTAATGTACCTGTGCATAAAGACATAGAATTGAAAACCAACTCCTAGTAACCTAGTAACCTTTATTCTAAGAGGCTTGTGATTTTCCCAGAAGCCTTTGTCCTGTACGGTGGATCTGGGTACAATGAGGACACCCAGTGCTGAGTGCCCCGATGTCACACAGTGCCGAGTGTCCCCTTCAGAAGGACAGCATTTGAATGGCTCTTTGCTGGCACTTTTCCTCCCCCCTTTTAGAACTCTATTGTGGTGATCTTGGCTAAGGCAGTTAATGGTATCATGGTGGCTTCCTTTGGGGATGGTGACTAAGTTGCTTTAGGCTGGTTGCTCTTGGAAGCATCTGTCCCCCTCATCATCTGTCCCACCTCCTTATACCTGCATTTCCAGGCTGTTGTCTGGCTTCTCAGTCAAGGGTTGCCAATGTGCTGGAATTGTCAATGGAACTGAACAATTGACTGCTGGGAAATAGGATGTTTCAATTTTTAATTTAGCATTAATTTTTAATAGTGCTGTTTTGTCTTCTTGCTCAAGTAACCACAGTGAACACTGGGGTTCTTACTCAGTTTCTAAAAGACAAGGCCTGAGAGGCCATGAGGCTGAGGGTGTTGGCAGGTTCATCACCTGCTGACTCAGAGGTTCTCAAGGGGAAGGACTAGTTGTCATTTCTGTGGGCTAGTGCTTAACTTCAGTTTGGCTCTTTGTATAAATTAGGTGACCAATGGCTCAGTCCCCTTCCCCTCCCATGGCCTCACTTGACTTGTAAAGTGGCAGTGGCTGGTGCGGAGATTAAATGCAGGAGTGAAAGGCTTGTAGTTAGCTTCTGGTACAAACAAAAGATTAAATATGTGCTGCTTCCTTTTTTTATTAAAAAGAGAGAAGTTCTGCCTCTCATACAGAACGGCAAATGGTACTGTGGCTCGTATACAGCAGCAAGACCGGCTGAGGAAGTTGGCTTGGTTAGAGCTCCTGAGACAACCTTCCTTGTCAGGCCCAAACTAACAGCCCAGCAGACAAGGCTGTGACCTATGAGGGTGGTGACATTCACAAATGCTGGTTTTGAGAAATAGAATCTGTGTATGTTCATTTCCTTTCCCTTTTTGTTTTGAAATCCTGTCATTCAATAAAGCCAGAGTGCAACAGGACTAAATGTGCCACCAGGGCAGAGCTCTCTCAAGTTAGTGCCAACAAAGCCAGGCCCTGTGAGCGAGCGCCTAACAAACACCAGCAACACAAAGGCTCGATCACATCGAGATGCCACAGCAGCCACTGAATGGTCAAAGGCAAATCTGAGGATTAACCAGATGTTGTCAGCACACCAGTGTCCATCCTGGGAGCAATAGAGGCTGGGGCTCAAAGCACTGGACTCCAGAGAAAGCCTCTCTGGGTTGAGTCTCGTCTTTATCCCTTAGTAGCTGTGTGACTTCAGGCAAATTACTTAAGCTTCCTGTTCCAGGTTTGTAATTAATTAGATAGGAATCAGTTATTTGCACACGACTTTGACATAATGTAAGCCCTGTAGGTTCTGGTTCGGAGCACTGACAGATAATATTGCTTAATGAGCTAGTGGGTACTCAAAAGAATGAACCTTCATGTGGTACCGAGACTCACGGGAAGTGCTCCATATTCATTTAAGTAATTGTCAGCATCCATGGCCAGTTACATGGCTTTCCCTGAGCCTTGTTTCTCATACCTGGATAATGGGAATAACATGTCACAGGCCCATGATAAGGACAAGCCTGGCTAGGGTTGGTAGAGTCACTGTGGCATGGAAGAGTCATGACTGAAGGGTGCCCAAGCCCCTGTGTCCACCCTGCAGCAGGGACACCTGATGTGCTAGACATGGAGCTGACTGTCACTCAGGGACTCCAAGCAAGCTGGCATCCAAGCTCCAAGGCACCAGGTGGCCAGGACTTTCCCTACCCTGCCACAACACCAAGAGGAGGTACTTCCAGCTGTCCCAGAGAAGAAAGAGGCCAGCCAGAGGCAATACAGGCAGGGGAGGGGGTAAGGTCACAGCAAGAGTCAGAGAGCAGAATCTAATGATGGGCGCTCTCCCCTCTCTGCCTACTATGCTCTCTGTAGCAGATGGCAGCATTGCAGACCGTAGGCACAGGTTTGTGCACACCCTGCCCTCCAGCCACTGTGCAAGGCGCGGGGGTCATTGCTCTTAGCTCCTTCCAGCAGCAGCGGGGCACAGGCATGCAGCCATGGAGGATCAGAGTGTGTCTCAGTGTCCTTGCAGACACACATGCCTCCCCAGATGGTGCCCCCACTCCTGTGAAGCAATGTGGCCAGGGCCACGGGGGGTGGGGGGTAGATGTCAGCATTGGGAACCAGTGAGCTGCAGGTTTAAACATCAGGCAAACACTGTGCAAAGCCAAACAAGCTGGCCAAAGTGTGTTCCACCCAGCCAGGGTGTACCCTCTGTGTACTTCAGATTGTCCCAAGTGAGTTGGAGATGCAGTATGAGTCCACACTGCACTTCTGCCTAGACTCCACCCCTGCTAGGCTCTGCTGCCTTCTGTCCTTCCTGCCTTCAGCCTTCAGAGTCACTGTTGCTATCTGCCTGGCTGCCTGTGAAGGTGTTGCTGGGTCTCTAGAGCTTTCTGAGCGATGAAAACAAACCTGTTCACTTTTGTGTCCCTAGTGAAGAGACAAGGTGGGCAGGCAGAAGGGTCTTTGCCAGAGCTCTGCTTTGCAGCCTTGGCTGTGCTGTACTCCCCAAGGCCCTTCCTCTCTGGGCCCTTGTGTGTCCTTGTCTGTAATTGATAACACTAATTTTACCAGGGCAGCCCTGAAGGTGCGCTAATTAAGGAGACTGGAGAGGTGGCTTGTGGATGAAGCTCTTTGCTCTGCTAGAGTGATTTCAGCTCCTCAGCATCCTTGTAAAATGCTGGCTGGGTGTGGCAGCACCCCCGTGATTTTGCTGGACTAGTCCACACTGATGGACTCTAGGTTCACTTGAGAGACCCTGTCTCAGTGAATAAAGACTCCCGACATCAACCTTGAGTGTATATACACTGCACTCACATACATGCAGATATGTTTAAGTACTAGGCAAGAAGTGTGCGTCAACCCCCATCTCACTACAGCAGCCTCTGTCTTTCAGGGTGGTTTCACAAGTTGTTACAACTTCTGAGACCGCTTCCTAGTGAGACAAGCTCCTCCTCTGGCTGATACCAGTCTGGGCTTTTCTCTTCATGCAGTAGGAGACTGCTGGAGAAGTCCACATTCCTTGAAGTATATTGTCTCAATACTCTGCTAGCCAAAGGGAGGGGACACATATGTCTCTAGAGTGTCTTCATCCTGCAGGCCTATGACACTAGCAGCCCCCGAGTATGGGGCCCTTTCTGGCCAAAACAGGCCTTTCCCTTTCTCTCTCAGCTCTGATGTCTTTCTCTCATCCCCCATGCATCATACCTTAGGGTCTTCTTAGGCTCTGGTGATATTCTTAACATCCCACACATGTCAGTTAGGGGCTAGAGATAAACACAAAAGTGCCAGGATGTGGGTCAGTTGGTAGAGTGCCTACCAAGCATACACAGAAGCTGAATTCTATTCCTGGCAGCTCATGAAGAGGGAGGGCATGGCGGTACATGCCTGTAATCTCAGCACTTGGAAGATGGAAAGGGAAGAGTCAGAAGTTCAAGATGATCCTTGGCTACACAGGGAGTTTGAGGTCAGCCTTGGTACATGAACAGACAGTGTCTCGTGATATCACTAGATGAGACTCTGAGAAGGTACCTGAGCAGCCCTCAGTGATTCCTGGACCCACTGCTGCCCAGGCGAATGTCACATCTCCTATTCAAGCATTTTGGAATAAAGCTTCAATCAGGACTCGGGTACAGTCACCATGACTCTTGCTGGCCACCTCTTCCTTGGCTAGTCTCTCACCTTAGCAAAGAGGTCCTGACTCACACTGTTGCATGTTTTGTCATCAGGAACCGCCCAGAAGTTTTGACGATGACCCCATGGAAGGCACCAATTGTCTGGGAAGGCACTTATGACAGAGCTGTGCTGGAAAAGTATTATGCCAGACAGAAAATCACCGTGGGACTGACAGTTTTTGCTGTGGGAAAGTAAGCAAACTGACAGACTTACCCTTGATTTTTTTTTTCTTGTTGCACCTTCAAATCATTGTGAGGAACCCGTAGCCCTACAGAACCTTCCTTACTTTGTCTGAGTTACTTCCATCTCCTTTCTAATGGAGGCTGAGGAACAAAATCAATAGTAGGTAAGTCCACCCATTCTCACCAGAGTGGAGATAAACTGTCCTCAGGGCCACTGGGACCCAGAACTAAGAGCATGCCTGCTGCTCCCTCCTCCCTGACCTCCAGGGCTTTCCTAGGGAGGCCCCAAATGCCAGCTGTTAGCGCCCAGGGACAAGGTCAGGGAATTAGAAGTTCTGGAGTGTGTTCATGATCTCTACGCTGACATGTGGCTGCTGCTCCTTCAAGGGTTCTTCTGGTCCTATCTACTGGGCCCTCCTGGAGGATTTGACCCTGGTGTTTGGATGGTCAGAACCTGCTGAGCATGGACGGGTTCTGGCTGCAGCAGCTTCCACTTGCTTATTTAGAGTATGATGCAGAAATATCATACTCATTCTTGAAACTTGAGCTATGTTTCTGATTTTAAAGTCTAATGCATTTTGTTTTCTTAGTAAATTAGCCATTTCCCTCTAAAATAAAACATTAGGTTTAATTTTTCATTGTTTCTTTTCTTTTTTGGAGGCAGAGTTGTGTCTTTAAGGATATTTTTTTAAAAATGCTGAGTGAGGATTGCTAGAGAACTACCGCCAAAGTAAGACGTATTGGGAAGTGTGGTGTGGGCTTCTCCGAGAGAATCATCCTGTGCTTTAAAAAAAAAAAAAAAAAAAAAAAAAAAAAAAGGTTCTGTATCCAGTGTGTGTGTAGGTCAGAAGATGGTTTTTTGGGAGCTAGCTCTCATCTTCTACTATGTGGGTTCTAGGGATCCAACTCAAGTCTTCATGTTTGGCAGCAAATACCCTGACATACTGAGAATTCCTGCAGGTGTGTTTCTTTTTCTGCCCTCTGGGCCTCTCTGTGTTGGTGCCTCTTTTGAAGAGGCCACAAAATCAACAGGATGTTGATCCCTAGGCCCCAGGCAGTTTGGCCTGACCTTGAGCTTTATCATGGACCTAGAAGAAGGCACTGTAATGTCACTCCCCAGTGCCCAGTGCTGCCTTTGGGAAGTTCTAGCATTGCTCAATGTTCTGAGTCAGGGGGCCTGATGAAATCTCAATGGGAAACAGGGGCTGTGCAGTTTGGACATTTCACTAGAAGACTTTGTATTTTTTAGGGGTGGGATTCGAGGTTCAACTTAGCAAACACTTTTGGCTCAGAAGGGATAAGACAGCCACATTGCACATTGATTTGATCCCAGTGTTCCCCTAAGAACAGGATGAACCCACTGTCCGACAATGCTATCAACCATCCAATCACAACTTTGCAGGAAAACAGAAAACAAAACAATGGAAATGCCCCATGTCTGCCTCCCACCTCCTGGTGAAAGCTGTGCGCCCAGCCGTGCCAGTCTGCAGCAAGCGGTGAATCCCAGAGGAAATGCACCCTGACTTTGGCTTTACTTTTATCTCAGTGCCTGGAGCCCGCTGTGATCCTTTACCCTCTTAAACATCCTTAGTTGTCACAGCGACACTGCCCCACACTCCCCTAAGTATCGTTTCTGAGCTTCGGGCACACTGGCTTTTCTTGGGGATCAGAGTACAGAAGTCTGTCTTGACCTCCAGCCATGGTGTCATGTCAGAACCCTCTTTTACCACTGGGATGTATTTGACCCGCCCAAAGAAACCTTGGGCTTCACAATGCCATCAGTAAAAGTGCAATGTATTTCCGTGGCAAAGAACAACCTAAGCATCAAGAAAAACAAAACAGGCTGGAGAGATGACTCAGTGGTGAAGAGTATTGGCTGTTCTTGTAGTGTATGTGGGTTCAATTCCAAGCACCCACATGGCAGCTCATAACTGTCTATAACTCCAATTCCAGGGGATCTGGCAACAGCACACAGGCATACATACAGGCAAAATACTGATGTACATAAAAATAAAGTAATTACTGAAAAAAAGAAAGAATAGAATTTTTTTTTAAAAAAAGCAAAAACAGCAGTCATTATTGCATTCAGAGCATTGTGATTGGCTACTTGTGTGCTCAGTAAACTGACTATGGTCCATAGTCTCTGTGTGTACGTTTGAAGTTTGGAAAGGGACCATCTGACTTCCCTCTCATCTGTGCCGTCTCCTTGGCATGACTTAGGAAGAGAGTCTGTAGCTTGAGCTTGTAGAAGGCATCACTATAATGTCACTCAAATGATAAATAGACAAATTGACATATCTCATCTGTTAGACTGGCCAGAAAATAAATACTGATAATATCAAATGTTGGAAAAGATGTGAAGTAATCAGAGCCCTTGTTTATTGCTGGTGGAATACAAGATGGTGCAGCTATTTTGGAAGAATTTTTAGCAGTTGCTTGCAAAACTGAACATGCTCTTATCATAATCCAGTCATCAAATTCCTTGGTATTAACCCAAGTGAGTTGCAAACATGTCTACACAAAAACCTGCATATAGATAATGAATAATTTATTCATAATTGCTAAAACTTTGAAGCAGACAAATTTCTCTTTGACAGGCAAATATAAAAACTGAATTGTGGTCAATTCAGATGACAGAATATTATTTATTGCTAAAAAGTGAGCTATCAAGCCATAGAAAGCAAGGAGGAATTTTTGTCACAAAGTGAAGAACCAAATCTGGAAAGGTTTCTGTGTTGGCAGTGTTATGCCACCTTGCCACAGCTGGGATCACCAGAGAGGAGGGGCCTCAGATCAGCCTATAGGACACTTTTTAATAAGATTGATGGGGGAGGGCCCAGCCCTGGTCCTGGATTCTATAAGAAAGCAGACTGAGTAAGCCATGGGGAGCAAGTCAGTCAGAAGCACCCTCCATGGCCTCTGCATCAGCTCCTGCCTCCAGTTCCTGCTCTGTTTGAGTTCCTGCCACTTCTGTGGACTACAGTGTGAATGTATGAGCCAGATAACTTTCCTTCTGACCTTGCTTTTGGGTTTGGCATTTCACCAGAGCAACAGTAACCCTCTGACAGCTCCACACTGTCCTGATTGATTCTGGTTCTGATTCTGGAAGAGGCAAAACTGTAGTGTCAGGAACAAGATTGGTGAAGCAGGAGCTGGGGGAGAGAGAAGGGAAAAAGAAGAAAGAGCCTAGAAGATTCTTAGGGCAGTGAAGCTATTCTGAATGGTACCACAGCGGTGGGTATACCAGGCATTGTGTTTTTGCACATTTCCCAAAGTGAACTTAGTATAAATTATGTGTCAGTGGAAGTGTGACAACTGTCACAAACTGCCACCTGGAGCATGGGTGGTCCTAGTAGAGAAAGGTTGTTCATATGTCTAGGCAGGAGGTATATGGGTACCCCCAATACTTTCAGCTCAGTTTTGCTCAGAATTCAAAATACAGAAGTATTAAAATATAGCCAGACTGTAGCTTAGATGGCTGACTGCATGATGTGAATGGAGCTCTAGGTTTGACTCCAGGCACCACAAAAACTTCAGGTGTCGTGGCACATGTTTGTAACCCTAGCAGGAGTATGAGAAGTTCAAGACCATCCTTGGCTGCAGAGTGAGTTTGAGGCTAGCCTGGTATACATGACAACATTTCTCAAAAAAAAAAAAAAAAGTTAAAATAAGGTGAATCAGAGACTGTTCCAGTATTTGGATGGATTCATAACATCGTATTTGTTTAGATGATACAATGGTATTTGGGGTAATCAGTGGGAGGTTTGTAGAATGACCAGGCAATGTGGGATCTCCATCCTCTGCACCATCCCCTGAATCACAGAGGAGGATGGGACGGTGCTATGCTTAGACTTAACCAAACACAGAGAAGGTAATGTTGTTATGAATCCTCAGTGGACTTGGGCAGCACACTTTCTTTGCATTTGGTCTGGCAGTAGCAATACTGGCCTTTTCAGGCTATTCCAGAACTACACTTTCTTTGATGGTAAGTTTCTAAATATGAGAACAGAGCTTTACCATGAGACTTACTGCAAAGTGGGTAGTTGAGAACACATACCTCTCAGACTGGCTTGTTTCCAAGAACAGGAGGACAGGGCTGTGCATGCCCAGTTGTTCTTACAGAGTTGGCAGTGACAGAAGTTATTCTACCTTCCCTGCGGACTGGGTGGCCAGCTGGAGAGGAGCCAGGGTGCTGTACTAACATGTGTCCCTGTGAAGGTAATAGGGCGTGGTTAAACGTGTCCCTCTCTGTTTCAGGTACATCGAGCATTATTTGGAAGATTTTCTGGAGTCTGCTAACAGGTACTTCATGGTTGGCCACAGGGTCATATTTTATGTCATGATGGACGATGCCTCCAGAATGCCTTTTATACACCTGAGTCCTCTGCATTCCTTACAAGTGTTTGAGATCAAGTCTGAGACGAGGTGGCAAGACATTAGCATGATGCGCATGAAGACAATCGAGGAGCACATCCTGACCCACATACAGCATGAGGTGGACTTCCTCTTCTGCATGGACGTGGATCAGGTCTTTCAAGACAATTTTGGGGTGGAGACTCTGGGCCAGTTGGTAGCTCAGCTCCAGGCCTGGTGGTACAAAGCTGATCATGACAAGTTTACCTATGAGAGGCGGGAACTGTCGGCGGCATACATCCCATTTGGACAGGGGGATTTTTATTATCACGCAGCTATTTTCGGAGGAACACCCATTCACATTCTCAACCTCACCCGGGAGTGCTTTGAGGGGATCCTCCAGGACAAGAACAACAACATAGAAGCAAAGTGGCATGATGAAAGTCACCTTAACAAATATTTCCTTTTCAACAAACCCACTAAAATTTTATCTCCAGAGTACTGTTGGGACTATCAGATAGGCTTGCCTTCAGAAATTAAAAATGTAAAGATAGCTTGGCAGACAAAAGAGTATAATTTGGTTAGGAGTAATGTCTGACTTCAAACTGTGCTGGCAGATTTCAAAATTTGACAGAGAATCATTCTGGCTAATCCCTCAAAAAGTAGTAACAGTTGATTTTACCTTAAAAATCAAAATCAAAATCAAAACCTACCAACATGGCAAACTCATACTATTTCTCCTTATAACTTTGAGCCTTGTAATATGTGAGAAGGAGGCTATGGTAAGTAATCAGATGTAAATTCTCAGTGATTTCTTATATATTCTGGGTTTGGGGAAAATATTACATAAGCGGAAATCAAAATTAATTTGCCATCAGTAAATACAAAGCCAGAACGTTCTACTCAGTATGTCAGATAGCTTACTGGAGAACAGGGTGCTAAGAGAAATGCTTGGCAACAAGATAGGCTATCAGCTTGGGGGCACTGGCTCATTGCCTTCCTGGTTGTGAGGATTCTAGAGCAACACAGAAAGACCTTGCAGTAGGAGAATTGTAATGCATGGTCCTCAAAGACTTTTCAGCTGACGGTTTCAGGCCACTGGCAGGCCATACTCCCATTTTGTCATTGTCTGGCTTCTGTGTATAAGAAAGGTAGAGAATACTAATGGGTATCATGGCGGCACATGTTCAGAATCCCAGTAAACACAGGGCTGGCAACTTAGAGTCTGTGCTATGCTGGAGGAACAGGGCATGGGGTCAGTGCTTGAACTGAGTTGCAAATACAGACAGCGTTCTTAACAGTGCCTAATAGCAGGAATCGAATGGAAGGTGCCCAAGTCATATTCAGTGTTGAACTCTGTGGTGAGAGGCGTGGGTGACGTTAGGGAAGGAGAATGCTAAAGTGGACTACAAGGACCTGATTTCCGTCGGAAGACATTCCGTCATCATCTGTTCCTAACCACCTTCTCTGAACCTCAAGGTTCCTCAGCCCATTATATCCCAGCATGGAAGGCTGGCATGAAGAGGAAGCCCTCCATTGTGTGACCTCATTTCCCCTTGCTCTGTCTGCACTATCTAAGTGCAACAGCCAGACAGACGTTCTGGGCAACATGGCAACTGACTTTATAGCAATGGGAGACCTTCACCATAACAGCTGCTAAATGTTCAGTTCCCTTCTCTGAGGGAAGCTTAACCTCTTCTATATTGGTGGTTCTCAAACTGTGGGTCATGTCCCTTACAGTGGTCATATATCAGATATCCTGCATATCAGATATTTACATTATGATTCATAACAGTAGCAAAATCACAATTATGAAGTAGCAACAAATAATTTAATACATTAACACGAGGAACTGAATTAAAGAGTCACAGCATTAGGAAGGTTGACAATCACTGCTCTATATGGTAACCTAAGCAAATCAGTATAAGGGGAGATTCTCAGTCTGTATTTCCGTATGTAGATATATTTATATTTTGCTTGTCTTCCTGTTTTGTTATATGTTTCCATTTTCGAGCAATTTATTTAAAATGCATTGTCCTGACTTATGGTGTGAAGGGCTTCAATAAAAAAGCAACTTACATATTGTCTGCAGTGAACCACCTGTTAATCTTCAATTGTTAAAAAAAAAAAAAAAAGAAAAAGAAAGAAAAGTCACATACCCAGCAGCAACAAAAATAAAACAAAACAGAAAACCCCACAAAATTCCCAGATTGGTGGGATTGCAAAAGGAAGTAGAGACCACACATTGGCTAAGAACTCTGCCTCTTTGTCACCAAAGAAATGATCTGTCCTGAAAGTGTAGAAAAAAGGCTGAAGGAATTTTAAGGGAACTAAATTCATCTAGATTTAAATCTTTAGTGAGTAAATTTAGGGTGTTATTAAAGGTAATATTTAAACTTTTTTTAAGTGAAAATTCTGGTTTAAAATTGAATAAATTATTTTCTCAGTATATTCTGGTCTGGTCATGGCTTATGTATTTTCTCACAGAAGTGTTCAAAAGTATCAGTTTTGATCGTCTGTGATCATATAGGATTTTAGGATCTTAGATTTAGAAAAGCTGTCCTGACCTCCTGGACCTGTTCTATTACAGAGACAGGAATACAGACAGCAAGATGTCACTCCCAAATTATAAAGCTCTGTGTGTGTGTGTGTGTGTGTGTGTGTGTGTGTGTGTGTATGAGTGAGTGTATATGAGTGAGTGTGTGTGTTTGAGTGTATATGAGTGTGTGTATGAGTGAGTGAGTGTATATGAGTGTGTGTGTATGAGTGTGTGTGTGTATGAGTGAGTGAGTGTATATGAGTGTGTGTGTATGAGTGTATGTGTTTGAGTAAGTGCATATGAGTGAGTGTGTGTGTATGAGTGTGTATATGAGTGAATGTGTGTGAGTGTGTTTGAGTGAGTGTATATGAGTGAGTGTGTGTGTATGAGTGTGTGTATATGAGTGTATATGAGTGAGTGTGTGTATGAGTGTGTATATGAGTGTATGTGTGTGAGTGTGTTTGAGTGACTGTATATGAGTGAGTGTGTGTGTATGAGTGTGTGTATATGAGTGTATATGAGTGAGTGTGTGTATGAGTGTGTGTGTATGTGTGTGTGTGTGTGTATGAGTGTGGAGGGGTTGACACTGATGTCTTCCTCAATTGTTGTCTACCACACTATCTTTTGCGCCAGGGTCTCACTGAATATGCATGGAGCTCACTGATTTGGTTAGACTGGCTGGCTAGTGAACTCCAGCAAGGGTCTGCTGTCTCTATCCCTACAGCTGCACGCCCCCCTCCACACCCATATACTTTCTGCGGGTTCTCGGGAATCATATTTATCAACTCAGCCATTTTCCCACCCAGCCATGTTCCCCAACCCTCCCAGTGTAAAAGACGGGTCTGTAAGGAATTTACTGGACTGAGTTAGCTGACTGGCTATAACTGGATGGCACCAGGCAATGTGAGGGCAGAGACAACTAAAAGAGAAAGCAGGTGGAGGCCAGCGTTTCTCTCTGCTTCCTGTCTGGTGCGTGTGACTGAGGCTACCACGACTTCCTCCTTCATGGTCTGGCAGACAGAACCTTCTTTCTGTGGTTCATGATCTAGGAGCTCAAGGGTTGCAGCTGGTCAGGCTGAGGCTCTGAGCTGGAGCACGCAGGGTTCGGCCCATCGGGGACAGTAGCCCTTGCTGCATTTGTCCCATCAGCAAACCAGTGGCTCTCAGCCTGGGACTCGCTCCCCTCCCTGCCCTTGCTGCCATTTGGCAGTGGCAAAGTCTGCATTTTTTTGCTTGTCACAACTGGTGAGTGTGGGTGCTACTGGCATTTAGTGGGTTGATGCAAGGAACACTGCTAAATGAATGATTCACGATGCTCAGATGCACAGGGCGATAAATCCCACCTCAAGACGAGTCATTAGTGGCAATCTCAGAGCCCTGCTGTCATGTTCTTTCAGATTTCCCTAACAGAAACTTCCTGTTTGTGTGGGAAATGGCCTGATCAAGCCTGAGGAGCTCTAGATTCACTTCCTCCAGAGCCCACACAGAGGAGTTCCCGCTAGTGGGGCAGGCATTCCAAAGGTAACCAGTGGCATATTTGTAGAAAGGGTGTAGATTCTGTATATAAGTGAAACTAGCCCTACAAGCTTAAAGGATGCCACTGTGAAAGGTTAGGCAAAATCAGAACATTTATAAGGACTTACTTGGCTGTAACTGTACAGAGGGAGAGAGTTTCCTGTCTTGGCTCAACAGCTTGGTTATGAAGGCCAGGAGCAGCCTTGATCTGTTTGCTGGAGGGCTGGTGCAGTGGTCTACGGAAGACAGAGGCGAGGTGAGAGTCCATGAGGGGCCACGGAAATCAGCATGACCCTAGGCCACCCGTCCCCTCCTTTCTCTTTTGTGTCATTCTTTTTTGTGTCACTGGTGAACACTTTATAATCACGCCACACTATAGCCAGGACATGAGCAAGAACCAAGGGCATGGAGGGTCTCAAAGCTGAAAACAGTTGTCCCAAGAGAGCTGCGGTAGGTGTGACCACCAACGTTATGACTGTAACTGGGTGTCCCACCCTCAAGAAGTAGCTGCCACTTCTGGCTTTGAACCCAGACATCTTTCCACATGTTCAGAAGCCACCCTCCCATCATGCTGCCACAGCAGAATGCAGGTGTCTACAGGTATATCAAGGGACTGGGTTTCTTCAGTATTTAATAAATGCTTCTTTGGGTCCCATGGCTCATTTGACTGTTAATTGAAGTTTTTAGGTACCGAGTCTGGGGCCCTGGCCTCCAATTAGCTATCCTTGGCCACACATCCCCTAATTAAAGAAATAGTTCATGGTCAAAGTCACAGAGATTTATTCAATGGGGACACATTAGAAAAAGCAACAAAAAGAGAGGTCCAGTGACAGCCACCCTCAAGCCCTTCTTAGGAGTTCTGACATGACGTTATGTTTAAGTAGAAAGTAAGGGGTATGCATAACTAGGTGTCCTTGGCCAACGTTAAGTTTTACTGTTCTCAGCATCCCAGCTCCAGCCTGTCCTAAAGGACTATCTGATGTGTTGTGGAACTATATGAAATCTATGTCCAGGACACAGATCCCTCCTCTGATGGACATCAATCTTCTGTCTTTTTTATTTTCTCAACATCAGATTCCTATGGAACACTCGGCTATTTTTGTTTGTTTGATTGTTTTTTTGTTTTCCAAGACAGGGTTTCTCTGTAGCTTTGGATCCTGTCCTGGAACTCACTTTGTAGACCAGGCTGGCTTTGAACTCACAAAGATCCACCTGCCTCTGCCTTCTGAGTGCCAAGATTAAAGGCATGCACCACCAACATCCAGCTCACATGGCTATTCTTTAGTGTGTTGTCCCAGAAGTCTGATGGTCAAAGGCAGGGGCATGTATATTGTAACACCCATGCTACCATCTGTTCCACGAATCCGGTGAAGTCCCAGAGATTGAAATAAAGAGATAAGACAGCAGGTCATTCATTCAATGGCAATGTCAGAATGCCGAATGCCGAATGTCGTTTATTGAGGGGAAGAAATGGGCTTAAATACTGATTTACAGCACAGTGGAAAATAACAGGATTTTTAGGCTTAGCTCCTCCCCACGAGGTGTGTGTTGCCACAAAGTGTGTGTTATCAAAACGAAAAGAGTACCAATTACGGCTTTGGGGCAAGGAGTCCAGCCAACAGCTTCAGGCTTGCTCAAGGCGCCTTGGGAGTCCATGCAGGGCCCTACAGGTCCCCCCCTTCTTTTAATATAAACTAACACCTGCTTTAGGTGGCAGAGAAGGTCAGCATAATTCCTTACCTGTCATTGGAGAGGTCACCCAGCCCCATAACCTCCCTGTCTTAGGTTGCATATTTGCCCCCTTCTGTCTTACCCCTCTCTGGTGAATAATTTGTCAGCCACAAAACACATGGGCAGAGGCGTTTTCTCTTGAGCCAAAGACAGTAGAATCTGTCTTGTTTGAAGGTTGGCCTGGGCCTGTCTAATGCTGTGCTGAAGTAGCACCAAGTGCAAGGGCTACAAACCCCAGTGAGAGAGAGCTTGCCCATTCTCTAAATAATATGCCTGCAAGTTGAATCCTTGTAAAACGTCTTCTGCACTGGCAGGTGGTACTCAGGATTCACTGATGTTAATGATCTGCATGGCTAAAGCATTTGTATAATTTAAAAATTGATCACTCCATAATTCCTGGAGAAAAATAATGCATTAACATAGATATGTGTGAAAGACAGAGAAGAAGACCATATAAGCCTCTCAGAAAAAATTCAAGTGTTCATATAGGAGATTAGCTTGTAGATTTAGTTTAAAAATGCCAATTTGTGCTAGATAATCAAGTATGTTTTGGGTGGCTAAGACATCAGCCAAATCACCTGATAGTTGATCCACTGTGCTTGCAGTATTTACAGATTGGGAGAGGGCTATCCTAGAAACTGTTGCTTCAGTGGCAGAGGCAGCACTGGCAGCCGTGATCCCGAAATCTCCTTTCCTCTCTACTGGTCATGTTGGTCATCTGTAGCATGTTGGTCTCTGGCATAGGTACCACCTGGGGTACATGGCCCATGACGGCTGTTACTTCATATTTCCAGCAGCTAACCAGTCAGCAGACCTGCAGAGAACAATTGAGACTTCCTCCAAAATTAGTAGCATTAGTTACAACAAAAACGAAGGGGACCAGAATACAAGTGCCTGAGATGAAGGTGAAATTCTTAAGATAACGACACCCTCTTTCCCTACCATTGGAATTTTGGAATAATAGTCATCGTCTTTGGGTTGGTTTTAGTTATTTGGGATTGGGTGATGCTTACACTCAAGTTTATCTTTTAGACAGGAATAGGGAATGGTTGGGAAAGGTATAGTTTAAATGGGATATAGGTAGATTAGCCTATTTTCTTGAGAATTTGAGTAAGAATGAGATAGTATTTTACAGCTTACATTGTTGTGTATTTTTATGTGGTAAGCTATGTAAAATTAAGTTTATATTTTGTTATATTGTGTTAAATATTTCCACTTACAATGTTTTATGCACATTATTTTTTACCATATTCTATGTGTGTATACTTTTCTTGTATTCAAGACATTTTGTATATTGATACAGTTTGGGAT